TTTTTCCTTTTTATCGGTATGATCGGGATTGAACTCACGACTGCCTGCTTACAAGGCAGGGGATTATGCTGCTGAGCTAAATCCCCAGACCCATAAATGAATTTCATAGTTAGCCTTGGGTTCTAGTCCTAAAATATTATGTATAGCAAATATTCCAAAATCTGAAAAAAATCAAAGTCTATAATAGTTCCAAGCTTTTTTTTTTTTTTTTTTTGAGACAGGATCTTGCTGTGTAGTGTAGGCTGTCTTTGAATTCACCATGCAGCTCAGTCTGGCCTCCACTATGTGGTAATCCTCCTGCCTCAGCCTCCCAAAGGCCAGGATCACAGGTGTGTGCCATTACTCAGTTTGGTCCCATGATTTTTTTAGTGGTGCTAGGGATTGAATCCAGGACCTTGTGCATGCTAGGCAAATGCACTACCACTAAGCTACACCCGCAGACCACCCAAAGTGTTCTGGATAAGAGGTTCTAAATCTGTAAAGATGATACAAATGACATGACGACAATAGCTAAATTTATTGAGATTTCCCTATGTTTCAGATCCTGATTTAAGCACAATAGCATAGTTGTGTTTTGTTTTGCAGCACTGGAGACTGAACCCAGAGCCTGGTGCATTCTAGGCTGGTGCTCTGTCACTGTATGACATCCTCAGCTATTCAGCCCTTTTATGTTACTTTGAGACAGGGCCTTGCTAAATTTCTTAGGCTGGCCTCCGATTTGGAAATCTCCTGCCTCAGCCTCCTAAGTATCTAGGATTATAGTCATGCCTGGCTTCTTTGTATGTATCTTGTGTAATTCTATTGCTACTTCCTATTCTGCAGGTGAAAATACTGGGGCAGAGAGAAGTTAAGTGACTTCCCCAGGGATTATGGTGGCAGAGTCTGGATTCTGTCTGGCTTAATGGGCTGTATTTGTGGATATTTGCCTCCCACAGATTGAATTCTAGGAAAAGGAACAAATAGTGAATTAACTCATGCATATGCAAATAAAAATAATTTTGAATTATGATGATGAATTAAAAGAACAAAAGAGAGCGCAGAGGAAAGAGCCAGGGTGGAGTTTGTGGGAGGTGACATGTTAGAAACTCGCTGGGTTGTCCAGAGGTGGCTTGGTTTACTTGCTATGGTTAATGGCAGAATGCACCTGGGAGGCCTGTGGAAGCCCCCAGGCTCGTGGGGGTCTCATCAGGGTCCTGGAGCAAGCTGGGGACTGGGGTGGAGAGGTGGGCATGGTGGACAGCAATGTGTTGTGGGCAGAGCCCTGGGGAGTGAGGGGTTCACAGCTGAAAGGCTACAACCTTGAGCTTCTCCTCCAAATCCTCCAATCAAGCTGGCCAAGGGGCTGAGCACGGATAAAGCCAGAGATCACAGGTGAAGGGTGGCCGTAGTGCTGGGTGCTGGGGATTTGCTACCTCATTGCATCGGCAGGGTCAGGCAGAGAGGAGAGATGGAGGCTCTGGGGTCTGGAACAAGCTCCTGCAGCCCTCCTCAGGCCTTGAGCCCCCTCTTGAGAATGGTTTGGAGTGGATCATCCCAGCTCCTCATTTGCTTTAAGACAGGCTGAGCCCAGAATGAGAGACCTGAGATGGGGAGTGTGCATGACACACCAGGGTCAGCTCTGTTCTCTCCCTCGCTCCTGAGGTGGACACGGGCCCAGGGTATCAGTGATCCACTTGGAGTAGCACAGTGGCTTTGTGAAGCAATGCTGGAGGTCAACCGTTGGACTGGAGCCCCCTTGTGGCGCATCTGCTGCTGTCACCTGGTGCCACTCCTGAGGCCCCACTTATCTGCGGCTCCACGGGGCTGGAAGGTCTGAGGTAAACTCTGTCTTTTTCAATACAGAGTCTTTCTGGCTCGTGCCTGGGCCTCATCTCCACCTGGCTTCACATCTGCAGGGACCTGGATTTACATCTGACTCCAAATAGCGAAGGTGGACATTGCAAGGCCTCTTGAGACCTTGTCTCAGAAATTGTCCAATGTCCACGCTCCATAGGTCAAAGCCAGTCAGAAAGTCAACTCAGCTCAGATTTAAAGAGCAAGGGCACAGACTGCATCTTTTAGGGCTAGGAGTCACAAATAATTTGTGTCATATTTAATCTACCCTCTGAAGACCTCAATAAAGGACCTGAACAGGCCACTGTGCCCCCAGGAGACCCACATCTGCCATGCCACTGCCTCTCCCTCAAACCAGCATCATAGAAATGTTAGGCGTCCTTTTGCCGGCCACTCTAGGTGTCAGTCACTGAGGAATGGCATCTGGCTCAGTAATTGTTTTTGTTTTTGTTGTTGTTGTTGTTTTTGAGACACAGTCTTGCTATGTAGCGTGGGCGGGCCTTGAACTCATTTATGTGTCCTAGGCTGGCCTTGAACTCGTGGTGATCCTCCTGCCTCAGCCTCCCAAGCAGTGGACTTATAGGCATTATACCTGGTGACTGTATTTTTAATGACAGTCATTAATGTACCTCCCATCCAATGTGCAAATTTTTTTGGTACCAGAGATCTAACTCACAACCTCACACTTGCCAGGCAAGTACGTATGCCACTGAGCTAAATCCCTGGCCCATGTGCTATTCCTTTGTTTTTTCCCCAAGTTGAAGCCAGAGCCTTCACACTGAGCTATATCCCAACAACCCCTACCCCACCTTTTTAAAATTTGCTTTTCAGTTTTTAAGCTTTATTTTGAGACAAGTTTTCACTATGTCACTAAAATGCTCAGAGTGGACTCAAACTTGCCTTCTCTCTGCCTCAGCCTCCCAGAGTGCTAAGATTACAGGCATATGCCACCACATCCAGCTCATATACTGTTTGTTTTTTGAGATAGAGTCTTCCTAAGTAGTCAGGCTGGCTTTGAACTCATTATGTAGCCCAGGCTGGCCTTGAATTTATGGTGATCCTTCTGCCTCAGCCTTCCTAGTGCTAGGGTCACAGGCGTATGTCACCATGCCAGGCGTGTTGGTCTTCATATGACACTGACTGGTCTCTATGAAGAGGTGGGATCTTATATGCCCTCTGCCTCGAAGCTGGGTGGTAACTGGGCGGTACTGGTAATTTTGACCAATGAAACCGGGCAGGGACAATGTCGTGTGACTTCTGAGATCCTGAGATCCAGAGGGCGGTAGAGTTGCCACCCTTCTGCTACACTTGTCCATGGAAACTTGCCGCCCTGCTGTGAGGATGCTGGTGCCCCAGAGAAGCCAGGAAAGGCTGTCCCAGCTAGTAACCCAGGCTAGGCTTTCAACAGAGATTCAAGGGAAGGAGGCCTCGGATGATCCTGCCCCAGCTGAGGCCCTAGGCCTTGTGGAGCAGAGATAAGCAATCCTCACTGTACCTTGACCCACATGCGAGAGAGCATGATGTCTTTTGTTCGTTGAAGCCACTGTCTTTAGGATTTAATATGGAGCAGAAGAAAATTAATGAAGACTGCTAGTAACACAAACAAGAAAAAAAGCTCACTTAATCTAAAATTTTACTTGTCTTTATCATTAGAGTTTGGAAGTTAGCAACCCAGGGACGATAAGGAAACTCCCTTTGGTCATCAGAAACCCAAGATGTTTTGTTTTGTTGCTCTGCTATCCTCAGTGCATGGTTAGAATTTTCAAGGTCACCTTCTGATACAAAATAGCTGTTGGAGTTCCAGCTATCACATTCACATTCCAAGCTGAAAGGAGGATGAAGCAGACAATATTTTTTCTAATTCAAGGAGCATTGTTGAAAATTTCTCTTCACGTCTTAGAATTGTCACAGTTATAACATGGGCACAAGGGAGGAAGTGTCTTTTTAACTGGATCATCTGAAGTTCCATTATTGAGGAAGGGAGAATGGCCAGTGGCCAGTGGGCAGGTGGTGGCTATGGTGTTGGAGCAGAAGGCTGAAAAAGGAGGACCTTTCATTGCACAGAAGTCAGAAATCGCACATTGGCCTCTCTGCCTGCCATACCTCCTTGAATATTTGGGCACCATCATGGGTTTTCCACTGAGGTTCTGTCCAAACTGCTGATCTCCCCTCCTCTGCCCCAGAAGGGAAGCGCTGGAAGGGGGAAAGCTCTGGCTTCCCTGCCATTCCCATGTGGCCAGCAGGCCGCTGGACTCTTGCTAATTACTCTAACATGCAGCCCTAATCTTATTTCTCCCTTCCCAGCACCCTGCATGGCTCCCGTCTGGCCCCATTGCAAGACAAGTGCTTGGGTGTGGCATGGGCGCCTTGGCTACTTCTGCCAGGGCGCCCTGCCTCCATTTCTTTGCCTCATCATCTGCTTCCAGGGCTTTGTTCCAATACTACTTATGGAAAAGGCACCCACTAGGCCTTACGGCACCTGTGGGTAAACCAGAAATGGGTGCCCTTTCCTCAAATGGTTTGGGTGTGCATTCCACTCGTGCCTGACCTCAGCCCAGCATCCTTGTAAACACGCTGAGCAACTGTACATGCAGAGGCCTTTTCCAAAAGCACCTAGACCTCTCTTGGTGAACGAGGCCCTTCCTTGGCTGCTTGTTTTTTCTTTGGATTCTGTGCAAGCCTGTTCTGATTCAGGCTTTCTAGCTTCCAGTCCCCCACCCTGTTCTGCATCCAATGCCCCCCCAACCAGTAAACACCAACAGCCAGGGAGGAGGGACGGATCAGAGTCACAGGCACAGTCCCCATCCCTTTGTCCTAGCGATGCCCAGCAGCTGAATGGGATCTTCAATGGGGCTGGAAGAGGGCCCAGCCTTGACAATACTTTTCAAGTGATCCACGCCTAGATACAGCGGTCAGTGCCGTCAGCTGCTTACAGCAACTCACAAGTGGGTCTCAGGCTGAGTGTGGCTCAGGGTTAGAGGGTGGGCTTTCCTGGTTCCATCCCTAGGACAAGAAAAGAGCTGAGTCTCCAAGGCTCCAGGCTGGACAGACAAGGGCCCCCTGCCTACCCTGTTCAGGAAAATGCAGAGGTTCAACTTGCCCCCCACCAGATGGCCCGTCACACTTCAGCGATGGCCTTGGACTCAACCCTCAGGAACACTCAAAAGTGCTTTCAGTTCATATCTTTATTCACTCTGTACTTGCTCTGTCTTCTCTCCCCACCTATCCCCTGCCAGCCCCTGAGAGGGGTGGCAGCCCCATTTGGAAGGGAAGGGACTCCTCTCTCCTCCCTGGGGGAGGGATGATGTCCCCTGGGCCAGGCTCCACCGTGGTGGGAGAAGCAGGGGCTTCCAGAGCAAGGCAAGGGCATCGTCCAAGAGGCTGTGGCCAGGCCAGGGCCCCTCGGATGCCCTGTGGCCCTGCATCCTGCAGAGCATCAGGAGGGTGAAGAGCAGAGAAGCCTGCAGAAGCATTGAAGACAGGGTGTGTGTGTGTGTGTGTGTGTGTGTGTGTGTGTGTGTGTGTGTGTATGCATGTGGCTGACAGAGGTGAACACAGAAGTGGGAGGCAGCAGTGGAGACCAGGGAATGTGGGATCGCGGTGGGGTCCTGACTGGGACCCCTGGTCCTAAGGGGAGCTGCATGTGGGGGCAGGTGCAGTTGTACCAGGGAAAAAGCTGTGTTCCAAGAACCAGGCTCCCGGGGAAAGGAGCCACACCACAGGGTCACATCAGGGATTATGCCTGAGCAGAGGTGAGGGGACAGGCAGGAAGGGACTAGCAGGGGACTATGGGAACTCTAGGCACGTAGCGGGGCCATCACTGCCAGCTTTTCAACTTCAGGAGACCTCCCTACTGGGCACGGCCCCAAACTGCCCAATTGTGCTTCTGGGTTGCTTGAGGGTCCCCAGTGTGGCCTCGGCTATGGCGGGGAGGAACCCCATAGGCAACCCTTTGCTGTGGGTAACAGCTGTCCCCAGGGCTCCTCCCGATCCCAGCCTTTCTGGAAGCTTCCTCCCCTGCCCAGTGTGGGAGGCTCCCCAGCAGCTCATCCACCATGAGGTGGGATCCTCCCATGGGGTGGGAGGCGGGGGAGCCATGCTAGGGATGGATCACAGGCTCAACTCAGGAGGCACCCTCCCCCAAGAATGACCACAGGTCACTGCATTTTAGTTGAAGGACCCCCCACGCCCCCCGACCCCTGTGTGGCTGGTCTCTTTGCCCTCCTGGTTTGGACAAGTATCAGGTATCCAAGCCCACTGTGGCTGGCTAGTGAGGAGGCAGACACACCAGGGTCACATGGGGTCTCAGAGTGCACCTTGCCCGTCTCCCCGACAGCCACTGTCCCCATGGACAATGAGCACCGGGAAATAAAGGGCATCCTCGTAGCACGGCGGACTTTCCAAGGGTTCCGTGTCCTCTCTGCGGCGCCCCAACGGCCCCCCACTCAGGCTGCGGAAAACCCCTGGGGTAGCCCGGCCCCCGGCGCCTAGTGAGAGGCGGCTTCGACTGAAGGGCAGGCGGGGACCACTGGGCTGGGCAGGGGGCAGCGAGTTGCTGCTGACGGAGCGGCGGCAGCGCTGGCAGCCCCGAAGGTAGGCACCTGAGCCGGCGCCCATGACCACAGCCTCCGAGTAGCTGGGCACCAGCTGCCGGTTGGAGCAGATGTGCCACTCCAGCTCGGTGAAGTCCACCGTGGCCACTCGGGACAGTGGCGGCCCGCTGGGCATGGCCCCTGGAGGAGGTGAGCTGGCGCCAAAGAGCTTCTCCACTTGGTAGTGGACATGGGCGGTGCCACAGGCCGCCACGACCCGCAGGGGCCAGGACAGTGTGGCTGCCGACACGAGCCAGAAGACCCAGGCACGGGCGTACCAGGGTGGGCTGCGGGGGTCGGCGAAGACCATGAGAGACTCACGGAAGTCCACGTCCTTCAGGTGCATCCCCTCGCGGGCCTCTAGGTAGTCGTCCAGGCCCTCGTTGGCACTGAAGAACCGGGCTCGCTGCGTGAGGTACGAGGCCTCGGCCTCGGCGCTGCCGAAGCTGAAGCACTTAGTGAAGCGCAGCCGCGTGGCTGCGTGGTCAGCCAGGCCCACCAGCTCCTTGGAGACATCGCGGACACCGTGGGCTGAGTAGTCAAATTCACCCCTGGCTGTGCGGCTGTCAGCCCGCTCGTGGTAGACCTGCGTGGTGGTGTAGGCATCGCCATTGCGGTAGCGGGTGATCTGGCGCGTGCGGCGCACGTAGTGGTAGCTGGTGGCCTTCCACCAGACACAGGGCGGCGCCTGCTGCAGGCGGCGGATCAGGGCAAGCACGGTGTTGGCATCGGTGCGAGGCGCCTGGCATGACCGCACGTGGCAGTGCCAGCATTCGGCCAGGTAGAGGAGGTAGAGGAGGGAGACAAAGGCCAGTGGGATGTACAGGTAGCCATCGGAGCAGGGGCTGGCCGGGTAGGTGGGTGGCGGGCCCCCTGCCCCACGAGCCAGGGCTGCCTCAGGCCCCAGGACCAGCCGCGGCACAGTGGCGAGGCGACACCAGGCCACCACTGCACCACAGGCATGGATGAGGAGTGTGAGGAGCAGGCACTTCCAGTGCGACTCTCGGCACAGGGAGCTTCCCAGGGACTGCTTCAGGGGCCGCTGCTGCAGGGTAGGCAGAGAGAGGGGACAGGTGTCAGGACAGCGGCCTCTGCTGCACTAGCACTCTGCTTAACCTTGTGCAGGAGGGGAAACTGAGGCTCCGAGGGACTAGCTGTCTGCTCCCAGCCTTACTCCTAGCCAGCTCACAGTGGTGCTGCCTGCAGGACTGGAACCTGGGCCCATCTGCCCTGAGGCTGCCTTCCACTCTACCCTGCTGACTCTCAGTACCTAAGACACAACAGAGCCATCACCCCTCCTTTATAACACTAAAATGGTCTGAATTCTGCCTGATTTACTGTGAGGACCTGGCATATTCCTGTCTTCTCTGAGATTTAATTTCTGGTCCTGGTGGTATGGAGGCCAGAGTGGCAGGGGCCCAAGAGTTGACAGCATCCCTTACAGGCTGGGATCTGGTGCTGGCTCCACCCTTACAGGTATGACTTGGGGAGGTCCCTCATCCCCACTGGACCTCTAACTCCTCATCTATAACCTGGGGTTGTTATGAAGATTTAAGAAGATTGTGTGTGTGTGAAGATTTTAGATCTGGCGGTGGGAACAAGCCATACGACTGTTACTCTTGCCTAGTCCTTTGCTCCTCTAGGGGTGGCAGGAGACTTGGGAGGGGCTTTTAAGTCAGTGAGAAAGAAGGAGAGCTAGAAGTGGAGGAGGTGCGAGCCTTGGGGGGAGCAGATGGAGGGTTCTCTTCCACTCCCCATCTGTGCAGAGCGAGGGGGCAGGATACACCACTGCTGGGCCGCAGAGGCCACTCCCTAGGCCAGAGGGCTTGTCCCTGCTTCCTGTCAGAGCTGTCAGCATGGCCACCTCACCCCCAGGTGCCTAAGTGAGCGAAGAGGGTGTAAGGGAAGAGATGAGTAGGGAGGGAGAGAAGAAACCACAAACACGCCACCTTGCCACCCAGCTACCCAGCTGTACTAGGCTTTGAGGAAAGAGAGGAAACAGCCCCCCAAGCCTCAGGGCTACCTGTCCCTCCTCACCCACCACACTACAGGTCCACACATCCACTTCCCTACACCCCCCACACAAGGTTATCACAGACTCCCCAACCCCCGGGTAACTTAACCTGTCAACAACAGACCCTTGCCTGTCCCCTGAGTGCAAATCCCTATAACCACAGCAAGAGGCACATAGACACACACACCATAGACCCATCCACTGCAGATGTACACGTTTCACACTGTCTGAAGTCCAGACACACAGCAGACCACAGTGCTCATCTCCCACCCCTGCAGCAACCTCACACCCACACACCCGAGAGATACATACACAACACTGGGTGAAGACCCACGCCAAAGGACCCAGATGACCCTCACCTGACCACAAGGCATATCTATTCCATCGAAGAAATAGGGACCACACACCTGCATACACACACCTGCACACACACACACACACAGGACCACACAGGCATTCCACACGCTCAAAGACATCCCCACCCACTCATGACTCCCATCACACACAAGGCTCCGGCCCTTGCAGATTTTCCTGGCCAGGACTGAGGAAGGGTCGTCTTGGGGGTCCCAAACCGCAGACTGAACCCTCAGCCCTCACCTGGGGGGGAAGGCACTGGATTCTAGAGGCCACCTCCCTTCCTTTTCCCCTCCCCCAGCCCCGGCCACTGCGGCTGCACTGCAGACGCCGCCCGGCACCTCGTGAGTGCCTGGGTCGGGCTGGGGGGCCTCACCCCGCGGCTCTGGCGGTGAGGGGGTGGTAGCCGGGTGGGGACGCGTGGGGACTAGGTGCTGACGTCACAGGACGAGCGAGGAGGACTGAAGGGGCACCGGAGCGGGAGTCGACCCCCACATTTCCTGCCCAGCCGCTCCACCCCTGCCCCTCTTGGGCTTCTAGGTGCGGGACCCCAGGCCGGACGTGGGCTCCCCAATGACGTCACCGGCCACAGGGGCTCGAGGACTTTCTGCCCCCGTGCCCTCCCGGGGACTGCTCGCTGCCCTGTCCTCCTCCCCGGTACCTCCTCCCGCAGCGGCTCGCCGTCCGGGATAAGCGCGGGCACCTCCCCGCCGTCGCCCTCGGGCATGGTGTCCTGGCTGCTTGGGCGGCCCCAGCCCGGGCCCGGGGCATGATAGGGAGGGGCGCGGAAGCTGCAGCGCGGCCCCGAGGGGCGTCCGCTCGGCTCCGCCGCCGCGGAGCACTGCGCCCAGCCCCAGCCCCAGCGCCCCGCCCTCTGCTGGCCCCGCCCCCGCGGCACCAGTGGCGCCGCCGGCAGCGCCTGGCACGGCGGGCACTGCCCCCGCCCCCGAGGAGCCCAGGCTGGGCAGCCGGACCCCCGGGTTCTGCGCCCGCAGCGCTTGCGCCTGCGACCTTGGGCGAGTCCTTGCTCTATGGCGCCTGAGGTTGGCCGGCTGTAAGTTGGGAAACGTGAATCTCGAGGGTGGACGCGCGGGCGCCGACCTCGTTCAAAGTCTGAAGCCTTGGTCTAGAAGGAAGCCCACCCAAAACCCAACCTGGACACCTCACTCCTTGGGGGAGGGAACACTTACATCCCAGAAAGGCATAAGGAGCCTCATTCGGCTGGATGGGATACTGGGCTCCCCTTAGGGTAGGCGCTGTGGGTGCTAGGACACCAGGATCCCTCGGCCACATGGCCTTAGGCCAGCATGCTCCGTTCCGAAGCTGTTTTTTCATCTGAGAGCTGGCTATGGAAAGATGTTGGGTTCAGTTCAAGCACTCATTTGGCTGTATTAGGTGAGTGTGGTCTGCTCTGTACCTGGTCTGCACCAGGTACCTGAGACCCAAGGTTGTGTTGCTCCTGCCTCTGGGGCCTCAGCTCCTTCATCCTCAAGTTGTGTGGGTTTTGGACCCCAACTAAATGCTTAGCGGGTGGAAGCTGCAATGCTAGCTGGGTTATTTTGCGGGTGTGTGTTTGTACAAAGGGCAACTTGAATAGTATTTGGTTAAACACCCCTTATTCATTTAAAGATGGTGTAGCTGAGATGTAGGGAGAAGAAGGTAGTGGAGCAGGGTTTTATTTGTTATTTACTTATTTGACACAAATATTTATTAGGTGACTTTTGTATGCAACTACTGTGTTTCCCACTGGGAAGAGAAAGTAGGAGTAGAGAATGACAGACCCTGTTCTCACAGAATCTACATCCAGGGGAAACGGTGCATCCAAAGGGGTCCTAGTTCCCATGCTGTGCCTCCACCCCAGAATAGATCAGGCCTCCACTGCCTTTGTTTCTCTGAGAGGTAAGAGTTGAGCTAACTTTTATTTATTTATTTATTTATTTATTTATTTATCTATCTTTTTGAGACAGGGTCTCCCTATGCAGTTCAAGCTGGCCTTCAACTCACTTTGTAGCCCAGGCTGGCTTAAACTTACAATGATCTTCCTCCTGCATCAGCCTCCTGAATGCTGAGATTACAAGTGTGAGTCACCACCCCCGACTGAGCTCAGTTTTAAAGGCTTTGGACTAGGCTTTGGTCAAGTGCATGAGAGAAGGAAGGACATCCTAGGTGGAGGGGACCTTTGGGCAAATGCATAGTTGTTGTTGGACCATGTGGGCTGAGTTTGGAGAGCGGAAAGGTGACCTGCTGTAACTGAACACTAGATAACTAATTAGAGGCAGGTGTCAGAGGGCCTGATTGTGCTCTCTAGAACGCAATGCTGAAGGCCTCTGAGAGGGAGGGAGGCCCTTGAAGATAGTCTCCAAAGGGGTGGTTGGGAGTGGTCAGAAATTGAGTGAAAACAAAGGAGCCTGGCACCCTGAGGAAGGCTTGGGAGTCTCACTTTGAGATGGTCACAGGACTGGTGATGACTCAGGAGTTTCGGATGCAGTCTCAGGAAATCAGTACACCTAGGCCCCAAAGTCGACTAGATCACCATAGTGGGTGGGAAAGGCCTCGTGCAGGATCCTGCCCATCTAATCACACCCAAATCTTCAGGACGTCAGATCGCCTACATTTCAGTTTTTCATTGTGCATGTGTATGTGCTCTCTTTCACGCAACGTGTGAATCAAGATCTCAAACTCTCGCAATGGAGGTCTCCGCGGATCTGCAGAATGGTAGTAAAGGCACAAGGTCATTTTCAGCACCAGAGTATGGACAGCACTCACGCGAGAAGAAGTGGTAGCAAAGAGGAGGAGCCACCATTCGTTCCGGCCTGGCCCAGCCTCCTACCTACACCTTCAGGTCGTCTAGGGCTCCGCTCCAGAAATGGGTGAAATATGGGGAATGGGGAGAAAAGAGAGCACGGAGAGCAAGGGATGAAGGCACGGAGAGGCAGGGAGTGATCGGAAGCCGATCGCTCCATTGTCTCCTGGTGTAGATCCTAGTACTGAAACAGTTCCGGAATTCAAACTCGAGATCTCCTGGAAAGCGTTTCTGGTGTAGTCGTGGCAGGCGTCAAGTGCCTCATTGCGCAGACACGGAAATAATTTGCAATGCTCTCCTATCTATTGGCTACACCCATCTCAAACTGGCAATCGCACTATTCAATCATAAAGCGGTCCTATTTGTTCCGCCTATTCCTTCCCCGGAAGTTGACTACTGCCGAATCCACTTTGGTGAGAGTTCCCCAGTAGCCAATTATAAAAAAGGGTGTGGCGAACCGGGGCTGCCGAAGAGCCAATGAAGGGTGGCGAAAGATGACGCTATCGATATGGCGGCCGCAATCGGCCTGCTCCGGTACGTGTCAGGCTGCCAGGTAACCTCTGTCCGGGCCCAAGAAGAGAAGCAGCTGTCTTATTAGTATTCGTCCTCGCGAGGCAGCGCAGCCGGCCCTCAGGGAGAACAAGCGTTGCGACCATGGCTTATCACTCGGGCTACGGAGCCCACGGTGCGTGCGGTGTGGGGCGGGCGGGGCACGTTCTGGCCGACTGGAAGAAAATCGGCGGCGCGGCCCGCTCACCCTGAGGGAGAAGGGTGGCCGTCACCGCTGCCCAGGGCGGGGGTGTCACTCTGGTTCCTACCCTTCCAGGCTGCAACACGTGCTGCCATTTCTTTCTGCCCAATCTTGAGATGGGGTGGTGATCATGCAGCCAGGATCCCCGCGTCTGATCCAGGCACGAATTGAGTTGCCTCCAGAGCTTCCTTTCCCTGTCAGGATCCCGGCAGGGTCCCTGACCGCTTCCTAGAGCCTGTGGGTAGCCAGCTGTCACCTTTCCTACCTTTGTTCACGCAGGGGATACCCTTGTCATTATCATCACCCGTACTATCCAAAGCTTTGTTCAGAGATCACTCCCCCTGAGAGGGCCCCGCTCCCCTTGAGAAATCCTAAATGAACAGCTCTCCTCTGCCTGCATATAGCAAAGGATTTCACGGAAAGGATCTCATCAAAGGGCTTTCTGAATTAGCTATTCCTAACCCAGCCTGGTTTTCCCTCACTGTTACTATTGCTTGGTCCCCTGAGAACCTACTCGGCTGCTCAGTCAGGGTAAAAGACAGTTTAAACTCTTGTTTGCTATTCTCATCACCTGCACTGGTACCTCCATGTCCACAGGTTCCAAGCACAGGGCCCGAGCAGCTCCAGATCCTCCTCCTCTCTTCGATGACACAAGTGGTGGTTATTCCAGCCAACCCGGGGGATACCCAGCCCCAGGAACTGATGTGGCCTTCAGTGTCAACCATTTGCTTAGCGACCCAATGGCCAATGCAGCTATGGCCTATGGCAGCTCCATTGCATCCCATGGAAAGGACATGGTGAACAAGGAGGTGTGGCCTGCTCCCAGGGGAAGGGTGGCAGGATTTCTGGTTAGGGCTGGGGCATCTGGGATCCCATATGATCATCACAGCTGCCCTCAGGGAAAGGGCACACAGAAGGAGCACCCTGGGGCTGTGGCATGGCTCATCCACAGCCTCCTCTCTCCCCTCCCAGCTGCACCGTTTTGTGTCTGTGAACAAACTCAAGTACTTTTTCGCTGTGGACACAGCCTATGTGGCCAAGAAGCTAGTGCTCCTGGTCTTCCCCTACACACACCAGGTGAGCCACCTATAAGGTGAATTAGTAGGCCTCCCTCATCCCCTGTGGTCTATCCCCTAGACCTCAACCTTCTCTCTTTTCTCCTCTGTTCCTCCTGACCTGGCTGCCGCTGCCACTGACAGAACTGGGAAGTACAGTACAGTCGAGACGTGCCTCTGCCCCCACGGCAAGACCTCAACGCCCCTGACCTCTATATCCCCAGTGAGTCTCTGACCAGGGCAGGGGCCACAAGGGGACCACTTGTGCCTTGAGGCGTGAGGGGAAAGAGAGAGGTCAAGTGTTGGTCTGGCATCTGCCCCTGATGCTTTTCATGGTGGATGCAAGGTACAGGTAGACTAGGTTGGGTGACTGGTAAGGTACTTCCTGAATGTGTTTGTGTCCCCACAGTGCCCCTTTGCAACCTGACTGCCTGTGAATTTGAATTGTGTCTCTTTTCTGCCTGGAGCCCTGGGTTTGCACTTGGCCCTGCCACTTGCAGCTGTGGGTCTTCAGGCTGGTTTTCACACTCTTCAGTAAAACCAGAATAACAGCCCCTATCTCAGAGGATCGTTATGGAGATTCAGGGAGGTCAGGTGTGTTCAGCACTGCACCTGGCATGCAAGACTACTACTCCTGTCTTCCCAAGCCCTCCAACCTCTCTACTTCCAGGAAGCCTGCCCTGACCTCCAAGCAAGGGATCACCCCCTCCTGGGTCCCCACCACTGCCTGTCTGCTTGGCACAAGTCTGCCCACACTGTGAGCTGGCCGACTTTGCAGCTCACTCTTCTCTGTCCTGCTGGTTGCACAGGGCCAGGCCTTAGAGGAGTGTTCCAGGGGCAGCCCCCAGAAGAGCTGCCAGGACATTAACCTGTCCAGGTGGCCCAAGAAGGACAGAAGTCCTTTCATCTTTCACCCCATGAGCTTCTCATAGCCACTGTAAAAGGCTGGTATTACATCCCCACCTTGTATGTTAAAGCCAAGGCCCAATGGAACTTTAGTATGTCTGAGGCCCACAGCTTATAGGTGGCAGGGCTGATTTCCTGTGCCCTCTGGTAGGCATGTCAGCCTAGTGCCTTAGTGAGCAGAGGACTAGTGAGTTTAAGCGGCTGCTGAAGCCTGGTTTCCACTGGCTCCAAGCTCTTAGAACTCCTCATAGTTGGCTTAGAGTTCTTTGTGTGATTAGTGCAGCCAGAGATGGGCCAGTGCCAAAAGGCAGAGTTGCTGGCAGAGATGTGGTCATTCCCACGGGCTTGGACTCTTGTCCACCAAATCTGCATTTTGTTTCTGTAGTCTTGCCAGGGCTGCTCCCTGTCTAGGAGGAGCAATTGCCTTGACCCTTGAAGTAGTTTCTGAGACACAGCAGGAAACTGATGAGCTTCCTCCAGTAGGGTAAACACTTACTCTGGTGGTGTTTACTCAGGGAGGGCACTGGTTAAGGAAAGGCACCCCAGACTGGATACTGGGAAGCTGAATGTAGGGGTCATACAGATCGGGCCATGTAGGGAGGGAAGAATGGGGGACAGCTGTGGCATCAAGATTTTGAACGCATAGTGTTCTTTTGAGGAAGCTAGGCTAACGGCTTCCCTCTGACTCTCGGCAGCGATGGCCTTCATCACCTATGTGCTACTGGCTGGGATGGCACTGGGCATTCAGAAAAGGTTGGTTCTAGTCCCCTCCCATCTCCCAGGGGGACCTGTGCCATGTCCCAGCCTCTCACCCTGACCCGTCACGATATGGTGGTTCTGACCTGCTCCTTCCCATGGCCACAGGTTCTCCCCAGAGGTGCTCGGCCTATGTGCGAGCACAGCACTGGTTTGGATGGTGATAGAGGTGCTGGCCCTGCTCCTAGGCCTCTACCTGGCTACAGTGCGCAGTGAGCTAAGCACCTTCCACCTGCTGGCCTATAGCGGCTACAAATACGTGGGGTGAGCACAAATCTGTGGGGCAAGCTGGGAGTAGAGGGCTTGTGGTGGGGATGTGGAGTTGTGGGTTCTGGTCCTGAGTAGCCTCGAAGTGTGACATCTGCTCCTCTATTTCAACCTCCAGCTTTACACTGCTAGCGAGACCACTGTTTCCAGCAGTCTCTCTGGGAATTGAGTGACTTGAGATAGGGGATTTAGGAAACCACAGGGGAGTGAAGCAGGCCTCAGATCTTGGTCCTGGGGCTGAACCCTGAGCTTTGCAGATCTGTTTGGAATCTGGGTCCCTGTGCAAACAGCTTCAGAATGGAGGGCTGTGATTAGATAGAATCTAACTGGGCTCTGGGCCTCTGGTGGGCAGAGCCAATCTCGGCCCTGGACCTTGGAGTCATCGGCCTCTCCTATTCTCCCAGGATGATCCTCAGCGTGCTCACCGGGATGCTGTTCGGCAGTGATGGCTACTATGTGGCCCTGGCCTGGACCTCTTCTGCGCTTATGTACTTCATTGTGAGTCCTGAGCTTCCCCCTGCCTGCCCACCTGGGTGGAAGTGGGGCCCAGCCCCCCACTGTGGGCCCAGCCTTAGCACATCTTTCTTCCAGGTGCGTTCTTTTCGGACAGCAACCTTGAGCCCTGACAGCATTGGTGGTCCTGGCTCCCAACAGCGGGTCCAGCTCTACCTGACTCTGGGAGCTGCAGTCTTTCAGCCCCTCATCATATACTGGCTGACCTTCCACCTGGTCCGGTGACACCCTGGCCCCGAATGGCACTGCTTTTTCATACATTGAAGTTTTGATTTCTTTCACTTGTTTTGACCCTTGATCCTGGGGCCTGCTGGAAGAGCTGCATTGCTCCAGAAGACCTCATTTGGGGCTGTCTAGGAGGGTGAACTGGGGAGGGTTTCCTAGAGGTTTTGACTTTGAAGGGCAAAGAAAAGGCTTTAGCAGACAACTAAGAGAGAGAAGATGACAGGATAGCTGCCAAGGAGATGTGGAAGGCCTCTGATCCATCTGAGGGGCTCTCAGAAGGGCCTGTGGCTCATGAGGTAAGACAGGCTGTGCTGAGGACTTAGCCCCAGTCCTTCATCCCATCCCCATCTCTTCACCCCTTTCTGGAGCAGAATGGGGGCCCACGTGTTTGCAGTAGTTTATTCATATTTTGTCACAAATGGCCGGGGAGAGGGTGCCGGACTCCTCCAGGCAACATAGAAAATAGGTCCAAGAGACAGGGTGAGCTGGGGATGGGACAAGAGATGGGGCTGGAGAGAGAGCCTGGGGAGGGGAGAGGGCAGACTAGGGGTGGGGATACCCCCTGCTGAGCCTGCTCATTCCCGGTGTGGGTGCCCCCCACCTGCAGGGGGAGCCTCGGGGTGAAGGTAAGGGGGGGTGGCCCAGAATTTCCAGGATCAAGCTCTGCTGCTGGCAGAGCCCAAGTCCTCCCCCTACTCCAAAATGGACCAGGCCAGAAGTCCCACCCCTTCCTGGACTGACTGCCATGCCTAATTGCAGGTTGGCAGAGGAGCCCTGCCCCTAATTAGAGCTCTGCCTGGCCCTAGTCCAAGGGGGAGGGCTCTGAAGGCGGGGGGGGGGGTCCCCGCAGCAGCAGTTTGGGGGGTAGAGAGGCTGGGGGCACCAGTGCCCCCTCCCTCCCCAGGGCTGAGGCCTCTGCGGCCGAGGGGCAGGGCTAGGGGTGCACAGGCGTCCGGTCCGTTCTGGGCTCGCTCCCTGGCCGGCTTCCCCCTTAGAAACTCACCAACGTATAAACCATACTGTGGGAAAATGAGGCAGTGAGCCCAAGTCCTGAGCAAGCATGGCCACCCACCTGGTACACCTTGGGTTGCCCTCAGTCCCCAGGGGCAAAGGGCAAGAACTTGGGCTTGCCTGGACATCCCTTCCCTGCGTCCCGCCTGCAGAGGGCAAGGCCTCACCTGTACAGGTAATAGAAGAAGGAGAGCAGGTAGAAGGCAAGTTTGCACCAGGACTCCTTCTGGCAGTAGTTGAGGATGTCAGCATTCATGATGGAGACCGCATCATACATGACCTCAGAGCCATCTGCAGGACGGTGGAAGTACCTGGGGCGGGGAGAGGTCTGAGTGCCCATGAGCCACTGAGGCTACCACCTCATGCTGCTGAGCGCCCCAGCCTAGCCTCCCCACTGGTGGCTCGTGCCCTCACCTCCAGAGGTGGTAGAAGAGGAGGGGGATGTTGAGGCCCAGGGTTACCCACTCTGCTGCACACAGAAACATCAGACAGAAGAGGCCATGGATAGAGTACTCCGGAACCACCAGCTGGGGGAGTGAGAATGAGAGGTGAGTGGCCCTGTAACAGGGCAGACCCAAGTTTCAAGTGCACAGAGAGGAGCAGGGGACTGGAGCAACCCACCATGAGCCCAAGGCCAAAATGCCTCTGGCCTACTACCCGCTCCCAGGAGACAGCGTGGATCAAAGCAGCCCAGAGAACGTGGAGGAAGCACATGGCTAGGAGCTTCCTGCCCCCAGCCCTGACACTGACCTTTCTTAGCAGGCAGCAGATGCGTTCAATGTTTTTTAAACGCTCGCGCTGTAGGGGAAGGAAAAGGCTGTGATGGGGGAAGCAGAGGAGCCCTCTCTCAGGCGCTCCCCTACCACCCCACACATGGCCGCCAGGGGGCACTAGAGCCCTCTGCATCCTTGACAGTACGGCAGACAAGCAGCCGCGCCGTCCCCATGGCGACCGTCACCATGGAGGGCCCTTCACCCGCGTCTCCAAGACAACGGCCGAGAGCCTGGCAACTGCCACCCTGCTAGGAGGAACCCGAGCCCAGAACCCGTACCAGGTGTTTGCTGAGGTGGGAACAAAGAAGGGGTAAAGGCCGCTGGTCCCCCACGTTGCACCCTCACCTACCCAACCTCTATTCCCACCCGCCACCCAAGACAGATGGAAAGACAGACGGACGGACACACCTCGGCACAGCACATGTATCACTTACAGCCCGCGCTGGGTTCCCCTGATCGATGGGGTTCTTGAAGTCAGTCCGCAGCTCATCAAAGGCTATGATCTGAGGGAAGGGTGTGTGCCCGTCAGGGTTGAGGCAGCAGCTAAGGCCTGCCTCCCTCCTTCCACGCAATAGGGATTTATACACAAGACCAGGTCCAACAGCTTGTGGCAATGTGGAAAAACTGAGGCCCAGGAGGGACATGACCTGGTTCAAGGTCACACAACTGTGCAGAACGGAATCCTGTCTTAATGTTTAGTTTTGGCTCATTTCCACTACACTGTCTTCCTGAACATCCCCAAATACAGTCCCTTTTCTGCTGGTCCTGTGCTGAGCACCAGAGCCCCAGGTCTGGGCTGCAGCTCTTTCCCGGGAGGAGCTCCAGGACTGGGGGAGAACTCAGAACTACACTGAAAGTGATCAGAGCTGTGGGGTATCAGCAGGACCCTGTGGGGGGAGAGAATGGGGGTTCAGGCTGACTCTGAGTAGGCGTCTGGTGAACAAATGGGAGACAAGCAGTCTAAGCAGCAGGAATAGCAGATACAAAAGCATAGAGGATTGAAAGAACATTCAGGAAACAGCTGCAGATTCGTGGGCCTGGGGTAAAATTGAGGAGTGTGGGAAGGAGGGGATGGTGCAAAAAGAGGCTGGAGAGGTCAGCACAGCCAGCCAGACATAGGAACTCCTGGCCAGACCAGGTTAGGCATCAACGAAAGAGTAATGGGAGCCATGAGGGCTACAGAGGCAGAATGGGGCTGTCAGATTGGTGTGTGAGGGTGGGAGGGGGTAAAAGCCGGCTTACAGTCATAGTCAAGACACTGAACTGAATTTATGTTTATTCACTGAACACTTGTAATGATCTAATGTCTTAAATGCTAGTATTATTTTCATTTCTGTTTTGTAGAGGAGGAAGCTGAGTGTTTTGTCCAAGCCACATAGTGGTAAGTCAGGCTTCTAACTCAGTCTGACTATAGAGTTGAAATACTGTTTTGTTATACTCAGGCTAGACTAGCAAGGGGGCTGTTGCAGTGTCCAGGAAGGGCGAGTGGTGGTCTGAGTGGACAGAGTGGCAGTGGAGGTGGAGAGGTGTGGGTTAATTCTAGAGTGGTCTTGGGGCTAGGGATTTAGCTCAGCGGCATAAGCGCCTGCCTTGCAAGCAGGCAGAGTTTGATCCCTGGTACTGATAAAAATGAAAAACAAACAAACAAAAATTCTAGAGCGCTCTAGAAGCTGACTCCAAAGGGTTTCTGCAGTGGTGAAGTAAGGTAGAAGGGTCTAGGTTTTTTCTGTGGGGCTGTCCGACATGCCAGTACCCTCAGCAGTGGGAAACTAATGGAGGAGCAGGTGTTAAAGGAGAGGAGCTGGCAGGTGACCTGGGGGAGGTGGATTGACAGGGGAACCTGCTGTGGCCCCCTCCCCTCAGCTCCAGCCCTAGGAGCACCAGCAGGCCCACCACCCCCAAGCATCCCAGATTCCAGACGGCTCAGAGGGAAAGAACATGGGCTTCCTGGAGGGAGCTGGAGCCATCTGGGCACCTTCCCCCAACTCCTCATTGACTCTGGGCAGGCGCCCCACTTGACAGGCACAGCAACAGGGTCCAGGAGGGAGCGGAAGGGTGCCATCTGTCTGCCCCTGAGCTGGCACCACCAGCAGGCAGCGGGTGTTACACCTCCCACCCCCTAGGCTGCCTGGCGCTGACTCAGCCCCCCGGAACAAACAATCCCCCATGATGACAGCTGACATGCATCACTCACGACCAGGGTTGCCTAGCGACCAGTGAGGCCTGTTCTCAGGGCATAGGGTGGGATCTGGGATCTTGCACTGGAAGGTTCTAGTTCACACCTGTTTTAGATTGGAGACCATACTTCCTCTCCCCTGTCCTCTTAATAGACCTCACTCTGGGCACTGATGTCTATAAGTTTACTGATGAGAAAACAAACTTTCAGGATGAAAGACTTGCTAAGATCACTCAGGTAATGACTGAGCAAACACTGTGTCTTATACATAGTATGTGCCCTGTGAATGTGTCTATTGAATGAATAAAGGTATTACTTCAAAAGTTGGGACCTGCCTCTTAGGCTGGGCAATCCACAAGGACAAAGTCTGGTTCTTATGCATCCTTTATTCCCTTAAACCCACTGACAGCCTGCATCTCAGAATCCCAAGACTACCTGGAATTCCTTGGGAATTAGCTCTATGTTTCCCAGCCTGTGGTCCCCAGTTGGTTTTGTCCTTAGGACTCAAGCTTTCCTGCCACCACCCACAGGACTGGGCATGGAACAGAAAGCTTGGAGAGATCAAGATGGACCTAGGGGAATGGAAGGAGGGAGAGAGAACAAGGAGGAGAGGAAAAAAACAGCAGTCAAGGCACTCAGAGACTTAGTGGTACAAAGGCAGGGAGCCAGAGGGTGGAGATGGGGTTGTGCTGTATGGAGGGTCTGTGGGGGCTCACTCCTCATAGATTAGGGGTACAGCAGAGTCAGTGAAATCCCAATGTAAAAAAGAAAGGCAGTGGAGATGGCAAAGAAAGATGGGGAGAATGTGGGGGAACCATGGAGCAGATAGCAAGTCCCATGAAAAGAAAGGAGAGGAAGTGGGGAGCACAGGAAGAGGCAGGTGGGGCAGGGAAGGGAGGAAGTAAGAGGTGCAGAAGAGAGGCTGGAGAGGGGTAAGAGGACCAGAAGGGAATGATGATGAGATGAGCTGAGCAGAGGGTTGCAGCAAGCAGGCCTGGAGGGGCCCTAGGTGGGACAGAAACCTCAGGGTGCAGTGGAAGAGGGAGGACCACGGCCTCCAGCAGTGAGCTGGGAGCTGACTGATAGTTCTGTAGAGAAGAGAAGGCAGCCAGGTAGAGGAGGCCTTTGAAGAGAAAGATCCTTTCTAGGAGTAGGTCATCAGGATGAGACCGTAACATTCTGAAGAACCAGGTGTGAGCCTAAGACAGGGTGAAGGGGAGACTAAGGGTGCACAAGACAAAGGGGATGTGGGGACAGGAATACGAGGGAGGATGGAAAGTGGAGAGGGAATGGAGGAGTCCCCAAAGTGAGCTGCAGTGGGGGCTAGATTTCTGGCACTGCTTAGTGTCCATGGCTGCTTGGCCAGGGAGGGGGCTGGGAAGGGAAAGGGTTAAAGGACTCTGAGATAAGTGGGTCCTGTAAACAGATGCAGTTGCCATAGCAACCGGCTTCATCACTCTGGCTGGAAAAACCCACGGTTGTGGGGGGGGGGGCAGACAGACAAACTGCCCCATGGACAAATGGAGATGAACTGATTGAGAGGGTAGGAGAAGGAGCAGGAATTCTAGACTTCCCCCTCCACCCCATTTGGATGGGGGAAGGGGGGTCAGGGACTGAGTGACATACCCTTAGACGGCGGAGGCGTCAGAGAAAGGCCCCCCCATCCCGGGAAGGAAGCCGACAATAGGGGGTGTTAATGGAGGCGAAGAGAAACCGAAGGATGGGGGCTAGCAAAGAGGAAGCTCCAAGTTTCCCCGGGGCTCTGAGACCAGCTACCCGGGGCCCTCCGGCTCCATTCGCCCCCTGCCTCCCCAGCCCGCCCCCAGCCCCAGCCCCAGCCCCAGCCCCAGCCCAGCCTTACGTGCCAGATGACAAAGAAGATGAGGGAGGCGCACAGCACCAGGGTGAGCATGTAGCAGAACGCCGCGAAGGTGAACGCCATGGCCCCAGCGCCGGGCGGCAGCCCGGGGGGCGCCAGCGCGGGGTCCGGGCGCAAGGGGACGCCCCCCGCCCCCCCGGCCCGCGCTTAGGGCCGGCCGGGCATGGCCCACAGGGCTCTGGGAATGCGGGCGGCGCGGCCGGGACCGGGGCCGCGAGGCCGTGGGGGACGCGGGGTGCGGGCCGGTGGGGCCAGTGGGCTCGGGGGGCGCGTCCGCTGCCGGCTGCCCGGGCCCCGATCGCACATCCTGCGATCCCTCGCCCGCGGCTCCCTCACTCTCCAGCCCGCGAAGCCGATGGGGCGGAGCCGGGGGCGGGGCCACCATGCAGGGGCCGCGGGCGGGGCTGAGGCTTCGTGCACCCCTCTGCCCACCGCATGCTAGCCCCACGCTACCCGAGGACAGAGGAGCCCACTGCCCTGCACCCTCAGGGGTACATAGCTCTAGACGCACATTCCTCCCTGTCACTCCGTCACCCAAGCAACCCACCACAGCCTCTGACCTGCATGTTCCCCGTGCTCATTTGGAGAGTCCTAAGTGTGAAGCACCTGCCATTGTCTGGGGGAACAGGGGAATCTGGCCAGAAGACAGAAGTCGCAGGAGGGAGCTTAAAGAGGTGCAGTCCAGGTGCCCCGGACACATCTGTGGACCACTGCAGGCCCCCAGGCCCTGACTCCAGGGCTGCTACCCAACTCCGTCTTGGATATGTGCCTGTGCTAGTGGTGCTTCCCTGGCTACTCGCTACCGGTCGCATGCCTACCTCCTTCGACAGATTGGTGCTGGGCCCTTAGGGACAACCCACAGCAACACTGGCAGCTCTCCTGATCCCACTATGTGGGTCAAGGGCTTTTGCCAGCAACCCCAAGAAAGTGAGTCCAAGCCAGGACCCCAGGGCAACCTACCATGCTCAGGGATCTAATCGCACCCCCCCCCACACCCCCAGGAATGAATGCTAAGATCACAGACCACACTCAGCCACAACTTCCTTGCAAAAACCCTCGGCTCACCCAAGGGCCAGTGGAAATTTATTGGTTTTGTTGTCCTTTTCCATCTTTCCCCAAGTGGCTTTTCCTTGCAAAATGCCTGACATAACACCAGAGGGGAACTTGGGAGTCAGGGCCCAAAGGGGTGCCCAGGGATTTAAATACAAGCTGGACGGGAAGGTGGGGGTGTGGGTGGGACATGGCTTCTCAGGCAGAGACCCGAGGTTTGTCTTCTGCAGGAAGAAGCTGTGCAGAGGGCAAGGAGCCTGGTTGAGCGAGTGAACAGAGACGCCCCTGACCCTGGGCTGCACCCACATTCCCCAAGATAGAGGAAGGGATGGGTCTGCGCAATGGAAGAATAAACCGAATGTGCTGCCTCAGGCAGAGAAGGGGTGCTGGCAGAGTGAGGGTTAAGGCTGTGCCTGGCCTCTGGCAGGTGGGCCTTCCACCTCCGCCTGCCTTGGGCACAAAGGGGCATGGTGGGCAGGCAGCACATGGGCCTGGCTCTGGCAGGGTAGAGGGCAGCAGGAACAGGATCCCTCTGGGCTCAACACACAGGCCCAGCACAGCCTCCCGCCCACCTGCCCTAGCCCTGCTTGGACCCCACTGCAGCTGGACGGCTTGAGCTGTGAGTGTAAGGGGTGGAGGGAGGCAGAAGAAAGTAGGCTGCTGGGCTCCTGTGCCCCCATACCCATTCTGAGGTCCAGCCCAGAGCCCTAGATCTCAGGCCTTGGATCCCCTGATTACAGTCCTTAACTGAAGCTCTGACTGCAGGCAGAGGCAGCAGAGGCCAGGAGGCCTCAGCTCTTGGGAAAGGGGAGAGAAAGAAGAGAAACCCAGTGCAGCATACATGGGGAAAAGGAGACAGAGGAGCCCTCGTTCCAAAGGAAGGCGCACAGTGGGGCATCTTTCCAAGGTACCTAAAGGCAGCAGCAGAGCAGCCCCTGTCCCTGCTCTTGCCACAGGTCCTGTGTGTCCTCCCTTGGGGACCCTGACAGAACCAGGGCTCAGGACAGCAGGCAGATGGGCCAGAGGGAGACGGGGAGCCCAGGATACCTCAAAGCCACAGACTCAAATGCCCAGGAGAGGAAGGAGGCACCTCCTGCCTGCTCCAGAGGCATCATCTGGCGGTATCCCCTCCTGTCCCATCCCAAGTGCCCCTCCTAGCAACAGCCGCCACCAGCTGGCTTCACAGGGGTGCTGTCGATCTTGAGGTTGGGCCGTTCTCCTCCTGAGGCTGCCCCGGGCCCCATCCGCTTTTTGATCTCAGCAGCCATAGTCATGAAAGCCTGCTCAACATTCGTGGCATTCTTGGCACTTGTCTCTAGAAAGGGGATGCCCAGAGAGTCTGCAAACTCCTGCCAAGGGGAGACAAGAGAAAAGACAGGGTTGAAGGGCAGCGGGCCCCAGCTATAGACACCGCCTGGCCCAGCCTTGCTCACCTTGGCTGTGGTGTTGTCCACCACCTTCTTGGTAGTGAGGTCACTCTTGTTGCCCACCAGGAGCTTATTGACATTCTCACTGGCATAGCGGTCAATCTCCTGCAGCCACTGCTTCACGTTGGCATAGGATTCCTACAGGGTCCAGGGTCCAAAGTTATTAAACTCCCAACTCTGCGGCCCCCACCCCAGCCTATATACAAGCTCCTGAGAAAGAGGCAGATGCCCTGGGCTAACGAAACTGTCCCCTCTTCACCAGAGCACAACACAGCTGCCTGCCAGCAGTCCCAGCACTCGCCAGGACCTGTGGGCCAGCCTGCTGATTGTCATAGCTGCTGCCCTCCAAGACACTCCCAGGTGTAACATGTGATGGCAGAAGAGAGGTGGTCTGAGGGAAGAGAGGGACAGAGAGGAATGGGCCAGTGAGAATCAACAACTCCCCAAAGTGGCTTGTAAATCTCTTTATGCCAGAGCAGGTTTGCAGCCTTGTGCCAATGGGGGATGGAGGGTCCTTGCAGGACAGGTTCTGGCCATAAGGGAGACAGGTGTCCTGTCCTACTTCTGAAACCAACACAGCATTGCTGGGCCTCAGACATTCCCAGCAGCCCAACACTCAATTTTGCTACAAAGGACAATTTCTAGTCAAGTGCTTGGCTGAAGCTTTTCGTTCTTAGAAGTCAGAGGCCTGATAACCTATCATGTTCTAAGTGTGCCTAATGCTGTGTACAGAGGGTATTAGAGCCCACCCTGAGGGATTCAGGGGGGCAATGAAAAAGTTGACCAGGATACATACAATGGCAAAATGAAATGGGGGCAGGAGTTAGGGAGCCCCAGGATCATCTCTGCCTAGGAAGCTACAGCCGATGAACTGGGCTTATGCAGGAGAGGTGGCTGCTGAGCAAACAGCCTATGCCAGGTCACAGCGGGAGGGCACACTGTCTTTGAGGGAACAAGGGCTTGCAGGTCAGAGCTCAAAGGGTTTTTATTCAGCTAAGTCTGGGACAATCAGGAGGGTCGTCTTCTCAGACAAGAGACAGTGGGATCACATCTAAGTGCTGGACAGATGGTCCACAGAGGAGTATGGAAGCCAGAGAAGACCAGTACTAAAAGGAGACACACTGGGAGGGTAGGTGGTAGAGATAATCCAGAGGAGAGATGTACCCTGAGCCAAGGAGTACAAGGAAGTACACAGGTTTAGTCAGGCCATTCTGGGTGAAGCCCTGGCTCAGCTGCTTACTGTGTGACATTGGATTTGTCACCGACCTCTGTGAGCCTCAGTTTCTTCTTTTGTATAAAACAGTACCTCCCAGCAGGGTTGTTGTGTGCAGGAGAGAATGAATACAGACCCATCTCATAACAAGTGCTTAATTAGCAAGAGCTGCTATTATCCTCATCACTGCTATTATTATGATAGGGAAGATTTGAGAGAGATGATGGGGAGAGAATGGAGGAGCCTTGAGACTGACTAGATGAGGAAGGAAGAGCTTTTTGGTCAGGCCAACAGGGATTATGTTACAGACACGAGGATGCAAGAGTGGGTGTGGGGAACACGGTTGGGCCAGCCCTGGGCATCTTGAGTTTTGCAGCTGGTCTGGAGCCTGGAAAGGCACCCCAGGACAGAAAAGTGTGTGTGCCATGTCAGCAAGACTTGAGTTATAGCCCTCACTTTGTCCTTCATGACTAGGAGACTACACTAGGGCCAAATTAACATTTCTCCAGGTAGTCTCACCTGGAAATACAGACTTCCCCATGCAGCGCACTGATTAAGATCATGGAGATGTGAATTCATAGAGACCCAAGTGTCAGCACAGGCATAGAGAAAAAGGGGGTCTTTGTTGACAGTTCTTTAGATGCAAGAACCACAGTAAACAAGATATAAGCCAAACAACCAAAGCAGCCAGAACTATGGAGAGGGTTCAAGTCAGGAAGGAGAAAAATATGGGGTGAGATGAGGGAACACAGGATGAACCAATAAAAACACCTTGAAGGGGCTGGAGATGTAGCTTAGAGGTAGAGTGCATGCTCAGCAAATGACAGAGTGCAGAGAAGGGACTTTTCAAGGAGAGAGAAGAAAGTTAAAAGTCACAAGAAGTCAATCAAGGCAAGAATTAACTTGAGGTCACTGGATTTGGTGGTCAGTAGAAAGGTCTTGGTGACTTCTGAGTGGAACACAGCTCAACCCAACCTGCTGTCCAGAGCTGGGGAGGCAGAGGCAGAGGATCATGAGTGGTAGAGAGCCAAAGAGCCCTAATACACAGGGACTACTCCCACCCCAGGGCTGATGTCATCTCCCATATCCCCAAGGCCTGGCTCCTGTTGAGCAACAAGGTTTGGTAGAAAAAACAAAGTAGGTGGGATCTGGAGAGTAAGCTTTCTATCTCTGCAGCTGAACAAGCTGGGGCGGTTCACCTGGTGGCCTCCTCACCACCCTGAAACCAAGTCTTCATCTGTAAGATGGGAACGTGACGTAGACTATACAAACACCAAAAGACAATATGAAGCTGCAGGCGTGTGGTTTGGTACATGCCTGCAGTGCCAGCTACTTGGAAGGCTGAAGTAGAAGGATCATATGAGCCCAGGAGTTTGGGGCCAGCCTGACCAACCCAGTGAAGTCCCATCTCAAAAAAAAAAAAAAAAAAAAAAAAAAAAAAAAAAAAAAAAAAACCTGAAAAACAACAACAACAAAAAAAAACAAACAAAAAAATAAGAAGAGGAATTTGAAAGCTGTGATTTACAGCAATAAAACTGGACTGTTTCTAGCTGTTCTCACAACCACTGATACCAGTGATATGTGACTAAGCCACCACAGCACACACAGGGCTCCTAGACCTCTGTTCCACAAGGCAGTGTTCAGGGATCTCACTGCCTTAACTAAGGCCCTCCAATTGTTTCCCCCAGTATCTTCACACAGGAAGCTATGGGCCCAGTACAACAGCCAACTAAGAAACTAAACCCATGCAAAACACAGGTGCCAGGAACAAGGCGGAAGGAAGGTGTGAAGACTGGTTCTGCTGAGACCCTGCAGCAGGCCCTTGAGAGGATCCCCTATGGTTGTTTCCCTCCCTGTGAAATGAGTAGTCTCCTCCCTAGGAAGCATCAGGGAAAAGATAGGAAGAGAAAAAGAAACAAACAACAAAACCTAAGGCCACGGAGGCAAAGTTGGGCCGGTTAAGTGCAGCAATACCTGGTCAGTGACATCGTACACCACAATGATGCCATGAGCCCCCCGGTAGTAGCTGGAAGTGATGGTCCGAAACCGTTCCTGGCCAGCTGTGTCCCACTACAACATAGTAGGGAGAAAGGTCAGCCTGGTTGAGCCCCTCCCCAGGCAGGATTTGTGCCTGTCCCTGGGGTTGGGGAAAAGCCACACTCACAATCTGAAGTTTGATGGTTTTACCATCCAGCTCAATGGTTCGGATTTTGAAGTCCACCCCAATGGTGCTGATGTAGCTCTCTGTGTACGTATCATCCTGGAAGGTTGGGGCCAATGCAATGACTGAATGAGTCTAAGGCCCATTTGGAAAACCTCCCTCCAACTTTCTCCCCAGCCAGTTCCCCAGCTAAGCCCCACTTCTGAGTACCCCATCTTAACAGCCCAGGCCCCAATTCAGTCAGATGCACTGCTGGCAGGTCTTGTAAAACCTCATCCTTGATTCCCCAGGTCTTGCAACCACTGTGCTCTGGTTGTTCCTTTCCTCCTTCCAAGCCACCAGCGAGATGGATGTTATAGGTTTCTTACTCACAGCGAACCGCAGAAGCAGGCATGACTTGCCCACACCGGAGTCACCAATCAAAAGCAGCTTAAACAGGTAGTCACTGGAGAGGGAAGACAGGAAGGAAGGTATGAAGAAAAGCAAGAAGTCCACCTACCATCACCATTACGGCCTCTCCACACTGTGAGGCATGTCTTGATTCGGTATACTATAGTACTCACCAGATCTTCCCACCAGACCTTGGGGGAAGGAAGACTGAACTTTACCCCCACAAGCTAGTCCACAGGTTTCTCAACTTCCTGAGTCTGAATTTTCACTTTTATAGGAAAAGAAAGTGAGGCACAGAGAGGCACTTGATGTCCTAAGACTCACAATCAATTAAGTGTCAGAGCTGGGTACTTATTCTGATTCCTGACAGACTCCACAGTTCTGTCTGGTACACAATATTTAGGGAACCCTTAGCATGTCCTGTGATGTGTGTTACTAGACAGGGGAGACAGGCCCTCAAAATGGAAGCCAGGAACCAATCCAGAAACAAACAAACAAACAAAAAGTAAAATTCCTGATATAGTCTCCAAGAAGAGGTAGTCAACAAGTAGAAATGGTAACAGCACTTAATACTTAAAGAGATGTTACTGGCATCATCTCATTAAACTCCCACCAAGGGAGTGTTTTATTTCCAACTACTGAGGAAATCAGACTAAAACAAGGGAAATGTCTTATCCTAAATTACACAGCAGATAATTCTAAGACTTCAGGTCTGTCAGACTTTAGTGTCGAGAGGCACCCTTCCCAAGGAAATCCGAGGTCTGGCGCTACAGGAGAAAAAGGAAGTGGCAGAAGAGGAAGATGACAGCTGATACTTGGGGGAAAACTAGAAGTGCAGGGCACGAAATGTGGGTCATCTACCCGCAGGGGAATGACCAAGAAGTCAGTATAATTTCAGGACTAGTGAATCCCATTCTAAGGGGAAAACAGGGGAAAAGCAAATTCCATATCCACCTAAACTTCTCTGGCAGTGTAACAGCGGAGGGAAGGGGTGCAACAGTGGTCATGGAGGTCTCGGAGTAAATCACCTGGAGCTCGCGACAGCATGACCTGGGCAGGCCAGGGCAGGCGCAGCCCGGAGGGGTTGACCTCAAAGGGATGAGCAGCGCTTTGGGGCTGCCCGCATCTGGTCATTCTCTAGATCAGCCCCGGGAAGCTGACTACAGAAGACTCCAGAAAAAGGAAAAGGGCAGAGGGATTTACGGTTCAACCTAAAGAGCTCGAATCTGAACTATCAAAAACCAGAAACTACTGTGTCGGGCTCCAAACCGCGAGGACCATCTTCAAACAGCAAATGGGGAAACTGAGACCTGCGAAGAACGGGTCTGCGGGGCCATCTAACCAAAAAGGCCTGGTAGCACTGTTGCCTCGGGCTCCAAGTGCTGGCCCTGGGGGGTCAACGCCTCTGGGCCCCAAGTGCTAGGACTCAAGGCGTCAAGCTGGGGTCCTGAGTACCCCCGGGGGGAGGGGCAGAACCCGGATGTGAGGGGAAGTCAGCGGAAGAGGGACCCGGATGTGGGGGCGCCGCGCAGTCCTGACCCGGGCCAGACAACCCCAGTAAGCGTACGGCCCCGTCCTCGGGATCGAGGCTGCGCCGAACGGCGCGGGCGGGGCTCACTCACTATTCGGGGTTCATGGCGGCGGCGGAGGCCCGCTCGGTCGCTCCTAGTCGGCTCTGCTCCGCCTCCGTCCCAAGATGGTGGCCGCTCCGCCCCACTGGCCCCGCCCGCAACGCGCAAGCGCACAAATTCTCGAGTTCGGCCGCGCCGCGCTGCTTCCTGGGATCTGTAGTCTCCCTGGTATCTGACTCACCCTTGCTGCGCAGGCGTGTCCTGCCAGGTCCGCCGAGCATTCCAGCGCCGCCTGCGCAATGCTTTCTGGGGCTCGTAGTCTTCTTACTGGACGGACTTGGCTAAGGGACCAAACTTCGGAGCTCGGCACCAACTCGGTGGGTACAAGATCAGTTTAGGGCTGGAACTGGTACAGGTTGCTTCTGTCTAACTGAGGCAGTCATTTTCGCCCTCTCGCTTTTGACAGTAGCTGCACCAGTAAAAGTTCACTGATCTTGGGTTGTGTACTGTACAATTCTAACACAGCTATAGTCCCAGGAAGCTGTCGTTACGCCTCCCCGCCCTCCCCCCCCCCCCCGACAGCATCTATGTAGTTCGGGCTGTCCTTTAACTCACTAGGTAGGCCAAGGTGGCCCCGAACTCACAGCGACCCTCCTGAATGGAATTACAGAAGTACCCCACCACGTCCAGTACCATCCTATTTTATACAGAAAAATCCCCTCGAAAAACTCGCTCAAATTCAATCAGCAAGTTAAAGGATTCTAAAATCCCAGAACTGAAGGCTTTAGAAGAAATCGCACAGTTGTGGCACCCCTGAGTGGTTTTGGGATGGGAGACCACCTGGATTCGTCGCACTCATGGGAGCTATACAAGGCACGCGCGCGCGCACACACACACACACACACACACACTCTTTAAGTCTCACCGGATCCCACCCCATTCTGGACTTGCTGGAGGACCCTGGGCCTCTACCTCAGAACAAGCCCGGCTCAGATTCAAACCGTCTTTATTTCTACAGCAACATCTGAAAATAAAGAGCGACCGCTTTCGAACCACAGGTGGGGCAGTTTCCCCTGCCACGGAGGACCGTGACTAGCCCCCCCGAGAAGCTGCGGGACTGGGAGGCAGCGTGGCAGGATGGCTCCAGGGGCGGCGCCCGGGGTGGGGTCAGGCCGTGCCTGGGCGGGGCCGGGCGGGAGGGGCAGTGCATAAGGCCGGGATGCAGGGCAGCGCCCGGCTCTGGGTGACAGCAACTCGGCCTGCTGTCCCGGGGCAAGGGGCAAGGTGAGGTGGGACACATCCCTGGAAGGCCAGGAGGACAAAAACTGTCCAAGTAACCATTTCGGGAGGCGCTACTCCGGAGAACTGGGAGCCTGGGAGGTACCACCGCGAGGAATGTGGGTGATTAAGGCCTGGGCGGTACCACTGGAAAAGGGCGGGGCGAGGGGAGGCCCAAGGAGTGCCTTGGACTCAGGGGAGAGGCGCGGCCAATAACTTATTTCTTTATATACAGAAGCAACGGCCGGATGGGGGAGGGTAGTGGTAGTGGTGGGGCTAGCAGGTGCTTAGTGTTCTTGGCTCTGGAGTCTGGGCAGGGTGGGTGGCTGTCTCCTCTTGGAGGCTGTGGCCAGCCCCTCCAGCTGGCTGGAACCTAGGGAAGAGGGGCCCTGCTAGAAGGAATAAATACAGGGTAGAGCAGGAGCGGGCAGGCCCAGCCTCCAGGGCTCAGGCTGAGATGAAATGGGAGGAAGTTACCCTGAGATTGAACAGAAAAAATAGGGGTCTGTGGGAAAGACAGGCAGGACAAGCAGCAGGTCCATGCGCAGGGCTGGGGGAAGAGGATGTGCTGGATGGAGGCTCTGGTGACTGGCTGCCCCTTCAGGATTAGCCCACAAGGGAGCTTCGTCTGGAGAGGTCCATGGAGCTGGAGCTGAGTGTGCGGCTGTCACAAAGACCTGTGCCTCCAGGCTGTGGGCAGAAGGACAGCCCATCAGCCTCAGGCTGTTGCTATCAGGCTTCTGGGCCCCATGGAGCAGACAGCCTGACTCTCCCAGTTGGCCAGGTCTGGCCCAAAGCCGCCCTGGGGCCTGACACACTTGTTGCCCATTACTGTGTTGGCACTGATGGTTCACAGGTCCACTGCAGAAGGGGGGTCTGCATCCCCCTTTTCATCTGTGCCCTCTGCTGTCAAGCTGAAAGCAGGACTGGGATGGGGACAGAATTGTTGCTGGATGAAGTGACATGCTCCAGGAGAAGCTGGGCTGGAAGACATGCAGATCTGGGTCCCAGAGGCCCTGGGGCAGGGGCCTGGCTTCAGCTGCCCAGCGCCAGACACCCACTGCCCCTACCTGGACTGGCTCTTCCACGCTCTTGTTGAGGAAGTTGAGGGAACTGGCTCGCTTCATCCTGAGGGAAAAGGCCAGCTGAGATTTACCCACATAGACATGAGGAAGTTATGAAAGTTGGGGTTGACGTGACAGTATACTTGGTAGTGGTGACAAGAGGGATGGGTAAATGACCCTGGGCCATCAGAATATACTCAGATCAGGAGCTCATTTAAGATCACTAAGGTGAGGGCTCACCTGGAGTTAGGGGGCTCCTGCGGGCTGCCCCCCTGCAGCTTCTTTACCAGCATCTCACTGCTGCGCCTCAGAGCATCCCGGAGCTTCCCAAAAGAGCCACTGCGCCGCAAGGAGCCACTGCCATCCTTTGGGTGATAGGCTTGACCTTAGGTCACACTGGCTATACAGTCTCACTCCTGACCCATCCCAGCCCCCACACTCACTCCACTCCACTCAGCTGCAGGTCCTGCCTCTTCCAGGTCAGACTCAGACCGAGGCCCAGCACCTCCAGTCGTGTCTCGAATGGCACGGCAGCCTCCCCGCCCACCACTGCCATCTTTCAGCAGCTCTACCACCTTGGTCTGGCTCGCAGGGTCCAGGCCCTGCGAGAGAAGCAGGGAGCATCAGGGCTAACTGCAACACACAAGGGCCTCAGAGGTCCTTCTCCACCCACCTCCTGCATGGAGTCCCACCTGCTTTCGGCTGCGGCTGGCACAGTCCTCCAGTGTGTGTGCAGCTTCTAGCTTGCCCTGGCGTCGGTACAGGGCACCCAGGCTGCGCAGGGTGGTGTTAACTGTGGGGCTGTGGATGGACAACAGGACAGTCTCAAACGCTGTGCTCCACTGGACCCAGGGCCTGTCTGACACCCAGCCCACACTGGCTCTGAGGAACCACCCATGTGTCCAGCCCTGTGCCAAGCCCGCTTGTCTCTCCTGACCTGAGAGAATCAACCCAGGACTTGGGCCTGGTCCTTATTCCATGTTGCTACCAAGAACAAAATGTGACAGACCAAGGAGTGAGAAAATCACACTCCTGGTACAGAAAATCCTTTTGTAAAATGGGCCTTGAAAGGAGCTGGCAAAAGAGATATGTGTCCTGGGGCTGACAGGATGGAGTATGGAACCTGTACCTTTGCCCCACCCAGGATGTGATTTCCCTGCTGTCCACCCTAACCCCATAGCAGCTCCTGCTGCTCTCACCTGTCAACCTTACAAGCCTTGTACCAGCTGCCATATTCCCCATAGGGGGCGCTGTCCCGGCGCTTATCCTGAGGGGGCAAGAATCATCAGGGGAGGTGGAAGAAGGCCCTCCCTTCCATATATCTCAGTCTCTCACTCTGCACAGCTACCTTGCTCTCTTCTCGTTCTTCTGCATGCATCCAGATAGGTTTGTTATCTCCTGCAGGCAGAAAGGTGATATTACCAGCCTGCCAGAGGCCTCTCCAGTTTGGGCTGAATACAGGATTAGGGTTTGGAGAGGGAACAAGGGACACTTAGGAAGGACCAGAGTTGGGCTTTGTTGAATTATTAAGAAATGGACTCATAACATCACAAACCCTCCCCTAATCAGAGAATGAGTAGGTCACAGGCCTATATTGAGGGGCTTGTGACTGGGGTGAGGACAAAGCCTTCCCAGTCTTGCTCCCGCTCTCGTAGGCTGAAACATGGGCGCGACTCCAAGGGATCTGGGGGCAGGGGACGACTGAACATCAGGAGCTAGAAGATAGGTTCCTAGAACCAAAGACACTTGGGCCAGGCCCTCGAAGGGAGCAGTTGCTCAGCAGACAAGGAAAAGACTGGGCCAAGAGTGTGGGGTTTGCCAAGCTGGACACTGCTTGGCAGTAAGCCAGGTGTGTGTGCTCCCATGGACACCATCCACAGGTGAGGCTGGGCCACTAGCCAAACCCCAGAATAAGGGCCAGTTTAGTTGAGATCCGGCCCTTGGTGTTCACAGCTGAACCTGACATGGTGGCCACAGACTTACCATTGACAGAACCAAACTCCTTCTCGTGAGCCCTGGTAAGGATCTCCTTGTACAAGGTCTCAGCGTCCTGGTATTTGCCCTGTTTCAGGTAGCAGGAAGCCTGGTAGGGTAGAGACCCACAGGGTGAGCAGGACCCAGGATCTGAGCCGTCCATCTCTTTCTTCCCCAACCTCAGACCTCCCTGCCTCCTCCCAGCCCCTCAGCACCAGGTTATTCTTGGTTTTGGCCACATTGGGGTCATCAGGCCCAAGCCGCGTGGCATAGATCTCCAGCGCCCGCCGGTAGTAGTATTCCACCTCCTCCGCTTTGCCCTGATTCTGGCACAGCAAGGCCAGGTTGCTGAGCTGCTTGGCTACATCTGGGTGAAACTTGCCCAGGACCTAGGACAGGAAAAGGAGTCAGAGGCTGAGCTCAGAGCTACCTGAGGACCTTACCTGTGCAGCCACTAAACCCTGCCTTGTCCCTACCTTTTCCCGGATCTCCAGTGCCCGCTTGCACAGTGGCTCAGCCTCCTTGTACTTGCCCCGCTTGCCGTAGAGAACTGCCAGATTGTTTAGTGTTGCAGCTACCTGGCGGGTGACAGAACAGAGGCACTGTGACCCAGGCTCCTGCTGAGCAGTGACTCTGGGACCTGGCGGAGAGTTGAGTATAGGTGGCTTGCCCACCACTATTCAGCCCTCACTCACAGCTGGGTGGTCCTTGCCCAGTGTCTTCTCCCGGATGGCCAGGGCATCATTGAGCAGGTGGGCAGCCTCCTTGTACTTATTCTGGTCCCTAGGAGCAGAGAGGCGCATGCTCAGGGTTGTCCTCCAGCCCAAGGCCTGCCCCTAGGCGCCCATGATTCCTATGGTCACTGGTGTGGGGACTAATGAGAATGAGGAAGCAGAAGCCTGGGCAGCCCCAGGAGCTCAGGGCAGTTCACACTCAACCCACAAGCGCCCTGCTGTATGCTGAGGACCCTCAAGCTGTATACAATCTTCAAGTGCACCCTGTTCTAGTTCACAGTGACTTGGCTAATGTAACTTTCTGTCACAGAAACCTTTTCCCATCCTCCTGTGTTCTAGGTCAACTCACTTTCCACACAGCCCCTGCTTAAGGCTGGTGCTGGAGAAACTGCTAACTCCCTGCAACCCTGGCATCCTTGTGTGTCACCTTCCCTGCTCATGTCAAACCTTTCTCTTCCATTAGACTGAGACCTGTTCACATCTGGAGTTCAGCCTCATGAAGCTCCTCTCTCTGCTGCCTACCTCCCCTCTGGAGCTGACCCTAGCAGTAACCATGGGTTAGTGACTCAGAATTGGAGTGTCCCTACAGACAACTGACCAGAGGGGCTCTCACCGATAGACCAGTGCCAGGATGTTCAGCATGGTGGCCACGTCAGGGTGGTCATGGCCCGATGTCTTCTCTAAGTCCTCCAGTGCCTGCTTGCAGAGTGGCACAGCCACTTCATAGCGGCCCTGAGAGGCATACTGGATCACCAGGTTGTGCAGGGTTCGAAGTCGTGCAGGGATTTCATAGCCCCCATGCTGGGCAGCCACGTCCCCTCCTCCAGGGCTGGGGGCTACAGGGAAAGACAGAAGATCAGACGTGCCCTATTCCCACTGGGCTAGACTGGCACATGCCAGCTATGCCTTTCACCTACTTGATAAATGGCAGTGGACAAATCACTACTCTGCCTCAGCTTCCCCATTTTTAGAGGTTCAGTTATCCAACAGAACAAGTAGGTGGAGTCTCAGCTCTAGTGTAGCAAGCCACACTTCCTAGAACAAGACCTCTAACCCGAGCCGTGGTTTTCACATTCGCAGACTGGGCTCTGATGTGTACTTAACATTGTGAGGCAAATGTGGCCCTGGCTAGTCCCTGTCCGTCCATGTGTCTCCTCTGATCCTCAGACCAGCCCTGGAGGAAAGGAACTGTCCTAGTGGCCTCACACAAGCCAGAGGCAGAGCAGAATTGGAGCCAGGCCTGGCTGTTCCAGAGCTCTTGTGGTGTCTGTCCCTTGCAAAGCTCACAGGTATATGATGCAACAGAAGACTTGCGCTTTACCTTCTCATGTGCTGAGATGCTGGGAACGGGAATAAGGCAAGAAGGAACATGACTCCCATTTCCTGTGACCTCTGGGTCCCGAACCCCAGGAATCTGCGCAATCCTTCCTCCCCCCACACCCAGAGCCAACTGCCCATCTGCACCTGGGTTCTGCTCATCCTCATTGGGGAACAGGTCATCTAGAGAATCTTTGGGGACATCTCCTTTCTCTTCCTGGAGAGAAGATAGGACAGATGTCAGGGAGGACAGCACAGGTGGCTAAGTGTCAGGGGGTTGGGTAGAAGTTGCCTGCTCATGCCCTGATTGGCCCAGGCCCCTGCCTAGGTGGGGCTCACATTAGGGGAGGTGTCCTCGTCCAGCTTGCGGATCTGGCTCATGAACAGCAGGTGCTGCTTCTCCTCTTCCAGCTGGGCTACTGCCTGCTCGCTGTGCTGCAGCTTCTGCTGTGTCCCTGCCAGCTCCTCACGGAGCCACTGATTCTCCTGTACCAGGCGCCGCACCTGCGCCCGTAACTTCTGCTTCTCCGACTCCACAGCACCCAGATGGCTCGACAGTGCCAGGATCACCTGTGTGGCCAGATGAGCATCAGAGCCCTGGCACCCCTCTTACCTGGACCGCCTGGAACTACAGGGTCAGTGAAGAGCCAGACCTACCTAGCCCTGCTTGTGAGCAGTTGCAAGGCCTTGGGCCTAGGAGTTCCCCCTTCCTCAAAGGTGGTCCCCCTTAGCCCCTGTACCCTGAAGCTCAAACCCAGCACATTCGAGTTTGGGGGTCCCAAGCTGCTTCCCCTTGGGACCCCTGAGCTACCATACTCTTCTTTTGTTTCTTATGGTAGATGTTTTCTGCCTGTCACAGCCGTAGCTACTATATAACTGCCACTTGTCCCAAGGCTGATGCTCCCTCAAAGAACCCTGACGGGGCTAAAAGGCCACTGAAAGATCTCATTTTGGCTTCTGCTCAGGGTCCACACCACACCCTGCCTTCTGCAGCTCCCAGGTATGGAAGGACAGATGTTACAAGCCACCAGAGTTAAGCAATGGGATAGAAGCCTTAGCTCTAAATTCTTTCCCTGACCTCTGACTCCCTTTCTGAGTTACTAAGGTTCCCTGGGGCCTTAGCATGGCCTCCACTCTCCGTCTATCCTGTAGGCCCGGCAACATCATTTTTACCATAATCACACCTGTTCCAGCTCCTCATGCCTTGTTGCCCATGTTCTCTGCCATCCCATTCCCCATCTGTGCATGCCACCAGGAGAAGGGTCCTAGCGTGGCCATCTCTGCATCTGACAGCCAACTGACCAAGGAAAGCAAGATGTTGCTCTTTCACAAGGCTGGGAAGTCCCTGCTCTTTCTAGCTGGTTAGCAAACATCTAAATGACAGGTGTTTTCATAAGCATAAGCTTTTTAAAAAAAAATTCCTTCAACAGCCTGGATGTATGTACAACAGATGGTATGATCCCTATTTTAAAGACAAGGAAATCAAGATGATTACAACTTTCCCAGGATTCAAGGCTGCAGATAGTGGCTTGGCCAAGATCTGAGGGGAACAAAATCCTTTCCCATAGAATCCAACTTCTGTCCAAATGTCTCCTAGACATCTCTGTCTTTATCTAGTCTTGGCAGCCTAATTTAGGTGACCAAAATCCAACTCTGACACACCCAGGTCCTTGCATCCCTGAACCTAAGATTATAAAGCTGGGTCTTACAATGCCCCTTCCTCTGACTTCACTTCCAGGTCCTGTAGGGGCCACCTCCAGAACATCTAGAACTGGTCCTCTTCTCTCTACCCTTTGCATCCAAATTGTCATCTCTCATTTGAGTTCTAGCTAACCACTTGCCACCTGTTCCCATCCTTGAAGGAGGTTTAGTCTCTGATTCAGAAAGCTTCTAAAACCTAAGTCAGACTATGTCCCCTCCCTGCTTAGAGCCTCCAAGGGTGTCCTGGTTTCCTAGGAATAAAACCCAAACTAATGAGCTAGTTCTGGTTCCTGTTTTCTCCAAAGGCTTCTTCTATCTTTTTGTTTACTATAGGGAGCTGTTTTTGTTTACTATAGTCATACAGTTCTTTTACTTCCCGTACAAGATCCGGCCTTAGGACCTTTGCCCATGTAACTTCTCTTTCTACTTTGTGTCAGCTGGTCCATTTCTGCCTTCAAACTCTTAGTTTAAATGTTACTTCTTCAGAGAAGTATTGCCTGACCAATAGACCAGACTCCTTGTTATAAACTATCACAAGATCTTATTCTTTACTTTGGACAACTGAGACAATTTGTTACAATTATTTGTGCATGCATTTCTCCCTTCCTACTGGACTAGGTCAGGGATCTTGTCTGGACTAGGTCAGGGATCTTGTCTGCCTTTTTGGACACTGTACACCTGGCATTAACATACTGCCAGTCACACAACAGCACCGTAATAAATTAGAAATTTAACAAATTAACTTAAAAATGAAGGGGGCAGGGCTTTCCTCAAGGACTTCCTTTCTGTTGTCCTATGCGACTCTGTTAAGCATAATGGAAGCAGAAACAGGGCTGTATGTGAGGATGTGAGTGCTCAGGGTCTCCTGGGGCAGGGCTGGGGTCTTCTAAGTGCATTAATATTTTTTATTGCAGCCCGAATGTGAATGAAGTTCCAGGGGACTGGTGGTTTCAGACTCTGTTTCCACGTTATCTCTGAAAGGCTCATATACGTCTGTGACCTCCCACCTAGGCTTCCTGACTGACCTACCTGGGCCTCCCCTAGTCCCAGCTCTATGGCCTCCAGGGAACGTCGAAGCAGGAGGCACCGCTCCTGGGAACCAGGCTCGGCCTCACTGGCCTCATGCGAGGTCAGGGGAGCTAACAAGGCACGATGCTCCCCGCGCAGGGTCTCTAGTCCCTGGATGACAGCCTTGGTGCCCAGCACGATCTCATCCTGGGTGTGTTTCTCCTCCCTCGGAAGCACCATCGTAGCCATGGTCGTGCCACCTGTGAAGAAGAGGGGCAGGCAGGCGGCCGCCGGGCCTAGAGCGACACCGCCGTCCATCCCGATTAGGTAAACACTGGTGGTCCCCGGATGCCTGCATCCCCAAGGGTGCCCAGGTCCCCCAGCCCACAGCCATACGGTGCCCGCACTCGGCCTACAGAGGGCGCGCCAGCCCCGTCTCGGCCACGAAGACGCAATGCGGTGAGGTCTGTGAGGCTGGACCCGGATCTCGCCCCAGACCACCGGCTCAGACCGCCTTAGGCGGCTGGGTCCTAAGGCTTCTCCAGAACTCCTCAGGTCAGGACGCGGAGCACCAGGGGTCCATACCAGGTCGCACGGTTCACTCCGGCGTGGGGAACCGACGATCTGCCCTAGCCCCGGCGATATTTGTCTCCCCCGCCGGCAGGCCCGACCCACAAAGCCCCTCCCCAAGGACAGGCCGCGCCCGTGCAGACCCTCCCCTAAAAGGGCTGAGCTCTAAGGTTTCGCGACCGGGTTTCTCGGGGCCGCGCCCAGGACGCCCCTTCCCATAGGCCGGTGCAAGCTCCTTCCCCTGGCTCTACGGGACCGCGCCCCCTCCCACCAGCGGCCGGGTCCTTGTGCAGGCCGCGCCCATGACGACCCCTCCATTAGGCAGCCCACAGTCCTTCCCTCTCAGTCTGACCCCTGTCTCCCGACCCGATCCCCCGCGCCAACCTGCGCTTTTTGATCTGCCCCGGCTTCAACTCTGGCTCCCGCCCCGCTTCACCCGGACCGGCAGCCGGGAGACGCTCTCACTGTCTCCATCCCGCCGGCCTTCCCAGCAGTCCCCGCGCCGCCTTAAAGGTGAAGCCGCTACCTCTGCGCCGTCGGCGGGCTGGCTGCCTTAAAGGAGCGCGTGAGCCTTGCTGGCCCCGGGCGGGAGAGGGCGGGGCCAACGGCGGGCGGGGCCTGGGCGCCTCCGGTACGGATGCGGGGAGGCTGTTGCATGCTCCTCATACCTTGCACCCTACAGCGGGAAATCGACCCCGGCTACCTTTCTGGAGTCGCTCCGGAGATGGCGAATCGTAAAGCACCCAGTGCAGCGGCCAAAGAGGAAGATAGTAGAAGATGAGGCGCAGGGAAACGGCCCGACCAAAGCGAGAGACAGTTCGTTTATTGAGATAGTTACCATCTATTTTCTTTTGAGTCAGGGTCTCCCTATGTAGTTTAGGCTGGCTTTGAACTCACTAGGTAGCGCAGGCTGGCCTGGAACTCAAAACAATCCTGCCTCGGCCTCCCAAGTGCTGGGATTACAGGCGTGCACCACCATGCCTGGCCCACTGAGCGCTTCCTGAGGTGCCAATTTACATGCATTTTATGTTAATGTTCACAAGGACTCCTTGAAGTGTGTGCTGGGTTATCTTCACCTCACCCAGCCAACCCAGGCACATTTGGCCTGCAGACGTGAGCACCGCTTCTTCTCAGCCGCCCAAGACCCTGTAGAAAACCTACAGCGGTTTTCTTCTTCCTCTTTTATTTATGTATTTATTTAGAGACAGGGTCTCACTGTGTGATTCAGGGTGACCCTGAACCCACTCACTGTATAGCCCAGGCTGGCCTGGAACTCACTGCTATCCTCCTGCTTCAGCCTCTTCAGTGCTGACATTACAGAAATGTGCCACCGTGCCCAGCTTTTTAAAGTTTTTGAAAAATTTTTATTATTAGTAGTGTATGTTTGCAGTACATAATTCATCATGGTGGATTTGTACACATACATATCTAAATTCTTTTTTTGTTCCCCTTCCCCTCCCCATTTACAAAAGCTCTATTTCCATTCTTTCCCCTAAAGTTCTTTTTCCCTTTAAGTCCGCTTTCCCTTCCTTTTCTCCTCCCCCATTTCTTGTTCCTCTTCCCATGTTCTTCCTGCTTCCTAGTATGTGACCTCCATTTTGCTCCTTATTAATACTTTGGATTTCTCACACAACAGAAACAATGTGATATTTAAATTGTGTGTCTGATTTATTTCACTTATGAGTATGGTCTTGAGGTATATCCATTTACATAAAAATGTCTCAAGTTTATCCTTTATGGCAGAATAGTACTCCACTGTATGTAAGTAGCACATTGTTAAGTGTTCAGATAAGAAGGGGAACGAGGGAGAGGGAGAGGGAAAGAAAGAAGGGACAAGGAAAAAAAAAAGAATAGGAGAAGAAAAAGCTTTTGTAAATAAGACGGGGCGGGGGTTGGGAATTTAGCTCAGCGGCATAAGCGCCTGCCTTGCAAGCAGGCAGTCGTGAGTTCGATCCCCGGTACCAATAAAAAGGAAAAAAAGATTAAAAAAAAAAAAAAAAAAAAAAAGACGGGGCGGGGTAGGATTGAAGGGTGAGGAGGGGAATGGGAAAAAAGCAAGATATGTCATGTACACGTACAAATTCCCTATGATGAATGTTATCGTTATGTATTTTGAAATGTACCTATAAAAAATATCACTTTTATTGTCCATTCATCTGTTGATGGCATATGGGCTGTTTCCAGGATTTCGCTATTATACATTGTGCTGCTATAAACATGGATCTGCATGTATTGCTATGGTATGATGACTTTGACTCTTTCAGGAAGATACCTACAAGGCAAATAGCAGAGTCAATAGAATCTCTAGTTTTAGTTTTTTGGAGAGTCCCATACTGTTTTACGTAGTGGTTGTACCAGTTTATTCTCCCACCAACAATGGGGGGGGGTACCTTTTTCCCCCTGAAGCCTCCCTGGCATTTGTTATTGATTTTTTTTTTTTTTTGTCTTTTTCGTTTTTATCGGTATCGGGGATCTAACTCACGACTGCCTGCTTGCAAGGCAGGCGCTTATGCCACTGAGCTAAATCCCCAGCCCTGTAGCTTGTAAATTTGATGTCATCCCATTTGTTGATATTTTGGTAAAATTTCATATGCAACTGGGGTTTTGTTCAAAAAATCTTTGCCTCCACCTGTGTCTTCCAGAGTTTTACCTTGTCTTTCAGGAGATGAAACATTTCTGTTTTAATATTTAATCTTTGATTCATTTCAGTTTTAGTTTAGTGCATGGTCTTATTTCAATCTGCAGCATGTAAAAAAAACAGTTTTCCCAGAGCCATTTATTAAAGAGGCTTGCTTTCTTTTAGTGAAGGTATTTGGTCCCTTTGTCAAAAATAAGTGTGCTTGGAGTTGTTTCTGCATCTTCCAATCTGTTCTGCCAATCCTCAGGTCTGTTTTTGTTTGTTTGTTTTTTGCCAGTACCATGTTTTTATCACTGTAGCTTGGTAGTACTATATAACTTGAAGTCAGGGATTGTGATGCCCCCTATTGCCCTTGTTGTCTAGAATTGCTTTTGCTATTTTAGGTCTCTTCTGGTTCTATATGAATTTTAGGTTTCTTTTCTCAAGATCTGTGAGGAATGCTGTTGGTATTCTGAGTGGGATTGCATTAAATCTGTCAACAGTTTTGGAACTATGGCCATTTTCATGATTTTGTTTCTGCCTATCCAAGAACAGGAGATAGCTTTCTTTCTTTTTTTTTTTTCTTGAGACAGGGTCTCACTATGCAATTCAGACTGGTCTTGAGTTCACTTTGTAGTCCAGGATGGTTTTGAACTTGCAACAATCCTCCTGCCTCAGTCTCCGAGTCCTGGGGTTACAGGCATGTGTCACCATGCCTGGCTTCCAAATTTGGTTTTTAATTTGCAGGAGTCTTTTGGTGGAGTTTTAGGAGTCTTCTATGTAGTGGACCATTGACAGTGCTTCTTGAGGGAAGGGATAGAGAGCTCTAGATGGTGTTCCCCTATGCAAGCACCCCAGCAAATGCTGCTGACTGGATGATCAATACACAGTGACCATCTTTGGTCTGTGGTGATGCCATTTGGGGCCCAGCTTAGATGATACCTCACAGAGGCCTCCCTTGATTTTTGGCCTCTCTGGTACAACAGTCCTCTGGTCCCTGCCATCACCCTCTTCACTTTCTCTGTAATATTAGCTTTCTTCATATTTTTCTTATTGGTTTGCGTTCTCTCTTCCAGTATGCAGGCCAGAAGCCAGGGATTTAGCTAAGCAGCCTAAGCTCCTGCCTGGTAAGCATGAGGTCATGAGTTCAATCCCTAGTACAAAACAAAACAAAACACCAGAATGCTGGCCAGGATTTGTTTATCTTGGTCACCCCAAGAATGGTGGGAGACACAGCAGCACTCAATAAATGTTGATTTAAGAAAAAGAAGGACCTGAGCGTGGTGTTAGACACCTGTAATCCCGGCACTTGGGAGGCTGAGGCAGGAGGATTGTTGCAAGTTCAAGACCAGCCTATGCTACAAAGTGAGCTCAAGGCCAGCCTGAATTGCATAGTGAGACCCTGTTTTGAAAAGACAAAAAAAAGCTGGGGCTTTAGCTCAGTGGCATAAGTGCTTGCCTCGTAAGTGCAAGGTCATGAGTTCGATCCCCAGTACCAATTAAAAAAAAAAAAAAAAAAAAGAGGGCAGTGATATAACTCAGTGGTACACAGTACCTGCCTGGCAAGCACAAGGTCCTGAGTTGGATTTCTAGGATCAGAAAAAAAAAAAAAAAAAAAAAAAGAAAGGGCAGAAGGGTGCACTTGTTGGCCCTGCCAGCACCTCTAACCTGGGTTCTCGTCCATTTCTCTGCAACCCTGGCTTGGTGTCTCCCCCTCTTCTCCAAGCTGTCATCACCACTTCCAGGTTGGTAGCGCCAGGTAGGTATCTCTGAGGGATAGCACCTGCACAGTGAGGCCTGGTATATTCTGGGAACCTGGGGTATTTCTTATGATCAGGGAAGGGCTCAGACTCAAGAGTTAGGTTCGGCATCTTCAGGGACACCGGAAGCGACTTCTGTACCATCTTGGTAGCCTGCTACTCTTCACTTGAGTGTACGCAATGGCAGGGAGCAAAGTGCCTTGCTGCATGGCTTGTCTTCAGAAGGCATCTGCTCCCTCCAGCCAGTTAAGATGCGTGGAACAGTGACAGTCTGTCATCTCTGCCTGATCTGGCCACACCTCTTCACCCAGGCCCGCCTCAGTCTCCTGGCTCTTCCCTGTTCTGATTTTTCCTGTCAGTGCTGGCCCTGCTCAGAATGTGCTCAGCCCAGGCCCCCGTGAAAAATCCATAGACAAGGTGTCAGTTGCATAGGCTGCAGAGGGACAATGCCCTTCAATGAGCACGGGGCTGAAAATCAGTGGCACAACATTGGCCTAGAACACAGGAGACCCTGGGTTTGACTCCCAGCACTACAGAAACAATAGAAAAACATGGCACCTTTCCACCAAGCCATTCCACCTTTCCAGTAAAGCTGAAAGTCAGGCTAACTTTGACAGCTACCATAGGTGAGATTTGTGGACAGCTAAAACCCTAGTTCTTATTTTTGAGACAGGATTTCACTATGCAGTTCAAGCTGGCCTTGAACCCTCTTTACTGTAGCCCAGGCTGGCCTCAAACTCACATCAATGGCCCTGCCTTTGTATTACCTTTTCTTAGGCAGAGAACAAAGTTTCAGTTTTCCTTTGAAAGAACAGTTTTCTAGTCTCCCTTGAAGGCTTTTGCTGGTGCTTTGCTCTGGCCTTTCTGCTAATTCCTGGCATTTCCCTTTGTGCTTCTTAGGCTGCTGCTCAGCCTCCCCACATGTTGGGGGAGGAGGGCTGGCCCTTTCCCTTCTCACACTCCTGCCTTGCTTTCAGTTCTTAACCTTGCTCGTGTTCACCCTTTTCAGCCCCTGGCTTTTTATCTTGTCTCTGTGCATATCCTGTCTCTAGAGAGAAGGAACAGTTACTACATCCTCTCTGTCTGTCCCACGGGTGCTGCCCAGCAGCTGCTGGTCTCCTGCCAGGCTGCTGAAGGGTGCTCAATAAATGGGGAATAAAGGAAGAAATCAGTGCCTGATGGTGATTCAGCTCCTTCTGCCATTTTCTGCAGCACTCAGCAGCCCCGGGCCCTTGTCCATACTTGGGAAGTTGTTCCTGCAGTGTATTATCATTGTATTCTTAGAAGTGTCCATCCCATTAAAAATTTTTTTTCTTATTGGAATTTAAGCCAAGGCTTTTGCACTGAGTGATAGCCCTTTTTTAAAATTCTGGGACTGGGAGGGCATGGTGGCCCATACCTGTAATCACAGCACTCTGGGAAGGCTAAGGCAAGAGAATCACCACAAGTTTGAGGCCAGCCTGAGCTACACAGTGAGGTCCCCCTCCTCCCCCTGTGGTACCAGGGATCAAATTCACAACCTCAAGCTTGGTAGGCAGGCACTTATGCCACTGAGCTAAATCCCCAGCCCGGGGCTACACAGTGAATTCAAGGCCAGGCCTATCTCCATTAGCAGACCCTATCTCCAAAAAAAATCAAAAAAATGTTGCGGAGACCAAGTCTTGCAAATAGCCCAGGCAGAACTCAAACCTTAATTTTATTGCCTAAGCTTCCCAGAATACTGGTATTATAGACATACACCACCAGACCTGGCTAAAATATACTTTCTTACATTCTTCTTTTTCCTCTGGTGCTTCATGCCTTGTTTGGTTTTGTTTTTTTTTTGGTATTGGGATCAAACTCATGACCACGTGCTTGCAATGCAGGTGCTTATGACACTGAGCTAAATCCTGGCCCATGCCTTTCTTTCTTTGTCTTGCTTTTCTTTTCATTCTTTTTCTTTCTTTCTTTCTTTCTTTCTTTCTTTTTTTTTGGTACTGGGGATCAAACTCATGACTTCATGCTTGCCAGGCAGGCACTGTGCCCTGAGCTGTATCCCCAGCCCCTCTTGCCTTTCTTTTGAAGTGATGGAAGGCACTTGTCCCTAGGATCAACCTCCCATTTGAAACCTCAATGGATTGACCCATCTGTACTTACAACTGGCACGTCCAGCCCAGCCTGGGCAACTTAATAAGACGGTGGCTCCAAATAAAAACACACCCCTCTTTGCTGAGGACCATGTTCCACTGTGGACACTGCTGTTTGTCAGTTCTTTCTGCTACTGGGCCAAAATAAGTCTGCTTAGTGATCGGAGAGGCCCTGGTTCTTAGCCCGGCAGCCACAAGGCAGATCTGTACCCTCTTTCTTTGCAGACTCCCAGCCAGCTAGAAGATTCGTGTACTACTTAGGTGGAAACATGGGAATCAGACTCAGCCAAGAACAAAGCTGTATCTTCATTTGTCAGCTGTGTGGCTTTTGTGGCATCCTGTATTTCATCTACTTCCTCATTTATAAAATGGGTTCCTAATACCTACCTTGTTGAGTCATGCAGAAAACTGAATAAAATGGCACCATTTTCACAATAGGCCTTGTAAGTAACAGACAGTATTCCTCATAGCTACTTATTATCATCACCAATGAGCTGACTCCATGATGGATCCTGTACTGGGGAATGGGCACGAGTATGGAGCAGAAAATGTAAACTACAGGGCAGTCCCTGCTCAGTGATGCTGGGGAGCAGCCACTCCAAGAAGGAAAGCACATGACAGACAAGGGAGCAGAAGGCGACACTGACAGGAGAAACCTATGAGGTCAGGATGGAAGAGCACCAGCTGGCAGGGATGACTGCCAGTGTGCCGAGGAAGTCCAGCAGAATGCCCCCCTCAGCTGACCCCGGCTCACATATTCAACCTATGCTTTGAATTGGGCATGTGGCCCTGCTCTGGACCACGCTAGCCATCTCCTTCCAGATCTTCGCAGGGATCTCCTGTCCAGATCTTTGCAGGGATGTCTCACTAGCTGCTCACTGTGCGTGGCACATGGCCAGTCCTGCTGTCCTTGCCTATCTCTCTCTCAGCCCTATTTTGTAGCCAGCCTCCCAAACCTGTTGATTCTTAAAATGCTTTCAGTTCTGTTTCGCTGCAAACCTCCTGCCTTTTCTTTAGTCTGTGTCCTTGTCCATTGCTCCTAAATTGTTGTAGCAGCTTTGAACTTGTTGCCCAGCTTGGATCAGATCCTGTCTTCCTGGGTGCTGCAGCTAGGTAAGCTACTCTGCCTGAAACCCTTTGTCAGCTCCCTATTATCTTAGGATCAAGGGCGCAATCCTCACTCTGGCAGAATAATAGCCACAAGGTCCTCCTGCCCTGTCCCCACCATCTCTGCCAGCAGCACTGAGCCACGGGTGGGACTCGGAATAAGTTATGCTCCCTCTTGTCACTGGTTCTCTG